TGGCGGAGAGGGATTCGAAGGCGCGCGATTCCAAAGCGTTTTTCTAATTGCGAATCGGAGTTGTCTATTGCATTTTGCCCCCACTTATAAACACAAATAACAAATGTCGATCGGTCCATTAAATACTCAGAGTAACGCAAACTTATTATCGTACGATAATGACTTTGAGCGACGCAAAGCTTCGCACGGATAATACTCTATCTGCTCTTCAAACAATGGAGCTAGTTTCCTTGCGAATCGTCAATTTCGAAAGTTAGAAGTTGCAAATAAAGTACTTAACTAGCATTATTCATCACTTGTTACGAGTAACGACTATCAAAGTATCAAAGTAACAAACTAATGAGAGATTGGTGCATATTTGGAGAAGCCCAGTGAATACCGATCGTGACGGACGATCGCCTCCACACAGATGTCCTGACGCCATCTAGCGGCGAAACAGTGCCAGCGTTCCGTCCCGCTCGCCGCGCGCTCCCTCCTTCATTCACCGTCTCATTCCGCATTCGTGATTCGACGAAACGGAGTCAGTCCCTCTCCGCGCGTCGCGGCATTCGAACGTGTCGTTCGTCAGAGTTTAAGTTCCCGAAAACATTGTTTGAAAAACATACGCTCAGCTGATCTGTGACATAACTACACTATACAGCTTCGGCGGTGGATATTACCGAAGCCGAGTGATCTCGCGTGTGTCGTCTCAGGAGACCGCGGAGGAATCCGAATGTAGAATAAGCGGCAGAGAGCGGCCGAACCCGTGTGTCCTGATCGATACTTTTAAATGATAACATGGATTCAATTAGGTGTTTTAGAAGACGGTGTGATTAGTGCGCGTCTGTGAATTGTGCTGTGCTTCAATCCGAGTTCGCGAAGAGGTGAGTTATCGTATCGATTCGACGTACCTGTGGCACGATAACGGCTAGGATTTGTTTTGAGGCGATAAGTCGCGCGCGATAGCGACGAATAATAGTGTTTCTCTTATACAAATGTGTATCAGTGTGACGTCGTTAATGTAAATAACCTCACAGAGACGACTCTACCTACTGCATTTATTAATTAGCATTTTAATTGACTATGAAATATCGGAGGAATGTTATGACTCCATACGCATCAATTAAGTTTTTCCCATGTATATGACGTATCTGACAATTTTACGCGTAAGTATGTAAGTAGCGTGGCCAAAGTCGACGCGAGAAAAAAACGTTTTATAGTTTCTGGTCGAAACAACCGGATACTCGTTGCAGCAAAGGAATAAACGTAAGCCGAGTGCGTTGCACTCGCCAGTCGCCACCTGAGTAATTCTCAACTAACCTAGCTATAGCTTAAAGTTTACACAGTAAATGCACTTTCTCATTTGCAACTCGAAATAACCACTGACTCACGCGAGTTACGACTCGTCTTCGTCCTTTAACGTCATTTTTAATGCGTACGGGCTACGCTGAACCCTGACAAAACAACGAAGAGTTAGCAATTTTATTTTTCCTATAAATAGATTCTGTAAAAGTGCTTCTATGAGATAACACTGATGTTTGTGATCGAAAAAGAGTTAATAAGTCAATTCACGTTTTGCGGACTAAAAAAAACATACGCACTACCTACCCATAGCAACAATAAGGCTGCAACTTAAACATAATTCACTATATACATGCCATACATAGTCAACATTTTATTTAATAACTATATTAACATAATCTTATCATTGAATGACTATTAATTGAAAATATTATCCGCTGTCAAAAACAAGAGCAGTTTTTACTTTGTAATGGTAATGTTTTTCTCCGATACACAAATGGTTCATTTTTAATGCTGTCGAGACTACTAAACGATTTTGTATTTCTTGTGCAAAGGTAATTTTCGAAATATTTAACGATTAATTGACTGCGTGACACAACTACACCAATAAATTACTTTAAATTCAAAAAAGACGAAGGAAAGATAAAATCTCTCTAATTATCTGAACACTTCAATAATTCTCGATTGAATCTTGCAAAGTAAATTCTCTTTTATTTTAAGTGTATGATTCAGTTTTATCTGCAGTGGAGGGCGACGACAAGCGTCTGCGGACGGCTGAAGGCGGCCATTCAGGCAGAGCTTAACACTTAACTTTGACTCAACTCGGAAAGAAAAATTAAAAATACCTGCTCACCATGGCTCAACTAAATTATTCCATAAACATTGCCAGTCTGTAGTTTACGCGAGTAGTTCAGTAGGCATCCGAACCGTCGGGACGTAGTTCACTAATATATATTTTCCGTTATAAGAGGGAGGCCTTTTTACAACGTTACAAGAGTTTTATTTGAAGTTAAACCACTCTGTTACATTTTGCGGCGTAATTGACAAATTTGATATTTGCTTTATTTCTTGACAGCTCTCGCCGATACTTGAAGCGGCGGAATAAAAGTTGAAACGTCGGAGAAAGAAGATTTTTATTTCGTTATTGGCGTTTCGCGTCGCGACATCACCCGCCGCGGCCGTCCCCGTCCCGTCCCACTCGCCCACCATTCTTGACTGCGCGATTACTTAAAGCGTATGAAAACAAAATTTCAAGTACTCAATGGCGCGTTATTTAGTTTTTATACACGAGTATAGATAGAATAGCGATACGAAAAATTGCCACTCCTATGTCTTAGCTTTCTTATCCGTTTGTTGAGTATTTTGAACACTCAAATTTGTTTCTTCTATCCTTGGCCTTTTATTTAAAAGGAAAATAAATTGTTTAACCGTACCTTTTATCAATATCACCAATCTCAAAATTGAATTAACGTTACGCTTACTACCTCTTAAATAATCGTAAATCGTTCAAGCGGACCGTTAAATATATGTTAAATCACCCATTTTATGGCCCAACCCACCACTGAAACAATATTTTTTCCCCGTCGGACAGATATATTACGATAACGATTAAATTCACGAGAGAGCTTTTAAACGGGCGTAAATCTAATACAATACGAAAGCAAACACTCCGGCGGACAAATGAAAATAACTACCGCACGTTGTACCTATGGGGTGTGTGTCCTAATCGAGAGGTTTTCGCGAGGCACAAACCAAAGCGTTTTTTATTAATTCGACCGGCATGCGAACCACTAATATTGCAACGCCCGGGAATAATGTAGAACGATGATTAGGACAGTGCAGATAGTGATCAAAAACAATAGCGTATGTATTGATCGATAGCGCCTTTCAATGGAATACAGCACAATTAGAAACAGACAGGCGAAGTTACCACTAATCAGTAGAGAATTTGTTTTTAAATATTTTGACAACATTCGTTGTTAACGTCTATTAACAAAATAAAGATTTGAAATCTTGTAATATTATTAAGTATCTAAAAGAAAAATGGCCGACCGAGCCGCTTTCTGAGACTTGAGGTATATGGCCCGGGTATTTTACCTTCTATCATAAAAACAATAATAATTTAGATTCAGTTCCCCCCCGAAAACAAAAAAAATTATCTCTTTTCTAATTCGGCAAATCTATCTACCTTCGATGTTTTTACCTTATCACGAGCTCATATATGGTTGAGTAGCAGTATTCGTGGACGCATTTTCATTACGGTTAGAGTCAAAGAATCAACAAGTAGGGGCGAAAGATTAGGTTCAACGTCTTGTAAATACGTGATCATTTATGGTTGGACGGTTGGACTTGGAAATATCACCTATTGCTCCATGCCCATAATTGAACGCCGTGACATTATTTCTATTGCATAGTACTATTTTCCTAAGAACCATATTGTCGTACAAATTTTCTACTCCAATAAGCAAAAATGCAGACGATCCATATCAACATATTCTGTTTTGTATTACCTCCTAATTGCAGGTAAATCGCCTTCAATTTAATTAGTACTCGTTTAGTTCGATTTAGGGTTCGATGACCGCGCTAACGTTTCGGTTACAACCAAATGTGTGCTTTAATATTGGTGATACAAGAGTGTTATTTTTTTCAATATTAGTTATAGGTAGGCGTTATTGTTTTATAGTTTTCCTCGCGGCAGTTCAAAATCTTTTATTGCCTGCAACTTTTTTCGCTGGCGTCCGATTTCAATTAGATATACCCAGAGTGAACCTCGTGCAATCATTTTGAAGTTTGTCGAATGTTACTAAATGTAAAGATAATTCCTAATTCTTGATAATATTTTACATCACCTAGCCAAATTCCAAATTTCGTCTCAGCATCAACGGCGGCGATCGCCGACCGCTTCAAGTTACCGTCTAAGGTTCGGCCGTTGAGTCATAAGTCGCCAGAAAAACTTGTACCGGGAGTTTAACCAAAGAATAAATGTAGTGATGTAACGAGAACCGTCGCATTACAAATTAGGATTTATTGCGATCTCTTATTCGAATAATTTAAATGATCTCTCCTCACAATTAAATCAATGAAGACCGTTCGTCGACGGTGACGGAGTCTCGGTGTTCTTTTTCTTTTGCGTGTGATGTTACACACGAGCACTACCTAACATGCTGGGCCAACCGGTACGTTACCGTAACATTATACCGAAAAACAAGTTCCAAAGTAAATTAAAGGTCCAAATTTAAAAAAAAAATTGGAAGAGTTTGAGAAATGAGCGTTTCGTAAGTGAGCCTAGCTGTTTCCTTAGTTAACTGCTCAATTGGGTTCCGTAAAAGTGTAAGACTCCAGAGCCCTCGGGGTGCCCTTTGTGCGCCCGAGTCTTTGTGCCTCGCGCCTTTGACTCTGTCAAAGTAAGCCCTGCACGAAGATGGTGTAAGCCCGGTTATGATAACACATTAAGCGATGTATTTACAATAGAAAGTACATTAGGAAAAGATCGCTTCTACTCAACAAACAATTGGTTACCAAGGAAAGGATATAAAAACAAAGTTTGAGTTCGTTTGAGTGAAATAATGTCCTCATTATATTATAGGGGCGGCCACATTGCATAGCCACATCGCACTAATTAGTATTTCTCGTAATATTACCGGAGAGACGAGGGTTTGTTTAGAAAAATATGAAATTTATTTAAGTATTTCAAATACGTTATTTACCTTAACTTTATAATGCCATTAGCTTGTTTTGCCTCACCTGAACTAGAAGTTGGTCGATTTGGGAAAGTATGTGGCGTGCAGAGGGCGAGTATTAGTGAGGAGGTACCCCGCTGGGCCGAAGCATTTATCAAATTATTTATACATTCATGGCCACCCATTGCTTTGGGCTCTCGGCTATTGAGCGACACGTCCGACGATCGTCGTATACAAGATCCGCAAAGTTCGAGTTGTCTAATTACTGACAGGCCCTTGAGATAAAATACTACTCAGACGCCTAAAATAATAAGAAACATCCCCTTTTCAACAGAACTGCCAGATGACCGATCTATTTAAAACGCGTAGATACGTAAATTTAAAAAATGATAATTTCTTCGAAAAGAAATTCGAGAATCAGAATTATAACAATCTTTTAACTCACGCTTATTGAATTACGTCTCGGTTTGAAAACCGGGTTTAATTTACGACTTATTTTCTAAGCATAGAGAAGCGCTGCTATTCAATTCGCTTTAAAGATTCCCCGCGTAACTGTTTCGATCGTGAATCGTAAAACAAATGTATATTTTATACCAGTTGGCCTTTACAATAAATTGGGAGATGGATTACTTCATTGCACAACTTAGGCTTGAATTGTTCTGCGAATATTAACTCGGATACCTGAACATGTACCAATTAGCCACTGAAGATAGCAGAAATACAACGTGTATAATTTATAGACATATATGTATATCTGTTTATATAGCGACGTATTCCCGGATGTGAGTGTTTAAATATTGTACACCTAGTTATAATTACGAATTTCACGTTTTACGAGTGCACAAACGAACGAAAATGGGACAACGGTCGTCACTCTCTACGGTCCTTACACCAATGTAACGACTACTTAGCTAGCCGTATTCGGAATGTATTATATAAATATGACTTATCGACGGCGATTAAATTGTGTGTGGCTGAAAGATGCTTACACAATTACTACTAATTTTTATTGAAAGGGTCAAAGAAAACACTATTACATTCAAAGGAAACCACAACAATCAGATAAAATATTAATTAAAAAATGTTTGTCATTCTTACCAAAATAAAACATAAAAATCTCGTTTCTACCTTTAAAAAGTGAGATATTACAAACAGCTTGGAACCTACTCGTATTAGCAATAATATAAATGCAAAAACCATTAAAACGTGTCCGCAAAGATGAAAATGCCCCTTTATCATTTGATAAAGTCAACTAATCGAATCATCAATCTTTCCTGTCGTTCGTCCACCGTGCCCCAAAGGCCTTGGTCTCTTTTATAATATCGATCGCTTGGAGATTATCACTTTTTTAAGAAAAAAAAGATCGAGGCTGAATCCACTGCGTAATATTTAATTTAAGATTAGTTTTGCATAATTAAGAGTGATACCACGATATTCCAGCCGATGTTCATTAATGCAACGGAATCAGGTCATCGTGTTTATGGTCGGCGCCAATTAGATTCAAAAGTACGGCTTCCGTTAATCAAATGTATTTTAATTTTTCTACCTCACTCGACTGCATTTCAAATAATTACTTTAGAATATTACTCAATAGATATACCGTACCGGGAATACGCCGTTAAGGGTATTCTATAGTTATATCTATAGTATAGTTGCATTCCCGCCGATTGACTTGAAAAGGACAGAATTACTTTTGACCCCCATTATGATTATTGTGTCAATTTAATGAACCTTATTAGTGGGGTATTTTTCTAGGTCATAGCTTTGAAAGACTAAAATTAATTATAATCTATAGTTCTTTTACTGGGACTTTTGAAACTCTCAGTCCTTTCTCCTGGTCGAAATGAGATCTACGAACGGCCCAAACGCATATGTGAGAGTTCGGTAAGAAGTTAGTGATTTAGTTTTTGTCATTCTCGAGGAACGGTCCGCTGTAAGCCGGTGGCAAAGCGCGGGGTCGATAAGTGTTTAATTACAATGCGATAGAGCATGATTTATTGATATTGCCTGTCCGATAACGATAAGCGACGCCTAGCCAGCCGAGGTAGACACTGCGCATCCTCGTTAAATATAACGAGCATTTCGTCAAATGAGAGCTAGAGAAGTAGGCATCGGTCGGTCTTGGTCGGTTTCACCACCGCTGTTTAAAACGTGCGAATACGAGTGCACATATATTGATCCCGATATTAATACTGTATAATGCTGGAACGGTAGATCTTATTTAGTTCAAAATAAAGCAATTTCTCGAGAAAGTCGAGTGTCTTCTTAGAGAAGATAGTGGTTATCATTGAAATCTGACTTCGTAGCGGCAATAACATAAAACGGAGTTTTATAACACATATCGTAACCGTGTAATAGTGTAGTTACACGGTATAGCGTGTACCAGATTGACTGATAAGGCTCGATAAGCCGATGGCGACTCCAACTCTTATCGCTTTGCCAATTTTCGAGTCGATACTCTGAACGGATTTAGCAAATTCCGCGTTCCGACGTTGACACCTATTAGTTTCTAGATTTAATGAAAGGGGCAAAATTGATTTCAAAACAATTAGCTACGCGTTAAAAACTATGCTATACCAGTCGTGCAGCTTAAATATCCTTTTAATTTACTTAGGCATTAATTAGTAGGATTAACGGCGTAAACAGATTTGTTATTTTATTTCTCTATTCATTGTTAATACCTTTGAACCATTTTAAAATCATTTATTTGACAAGTCTTAGTGGTTTCGCTATTTCGCGTCAGTATGAAAAGCCATAGGGTCCGAGGCAGAGGTGAATCACATTATCGTTGCCGCAGGGGAGGGTTGTAATGAATTGGGGGAGGGGGTCATGTAGTCACGCCGTCAGGGATACACCCTCGTGAAAAATTGTCGTCTGCAAGACGCTGCTGCAGAGAGAATTGCATTTTTTTGCTTCGAGACTAAAGCTTCCTTAAATAGCTAAACAAAAAGGTCTGTTGCAGGCCGCAAACGGGCAGTGTACTAAAAAATGATGTATTTATTATAATTGCAACAAAGAAACTATCAAAATGTTTAAAGTGCTACAGGAACTACAAAACTCGCCTAGCTTGTCACGTCAAAATGTATATTTATTAGCCCACTTTGTAAATTTTAAAAGCAAATAAAGCTTTATCGCCACAATAAATTGCAGCATACGGCTTCCCAATTTATCGAAAATCACCAGAATAGCACCCGAGGAGTTTCGTAACAGCAACATTACTAGACGCGACTCAAACAAAAGGTAACTTTACGACTGTGGAATTAGGGTGCGCATTCGTTTGGGGATAGAAATTCGCCAGGCATCGATTATTTGGACAAACAAGCTCTGTAATAAATCATCCGTTCCCGACTACCTGGCTTCGATCGATACCAAAAAAGACCCCATTTCGGGCAGAGGGAGTGACATTTCCTAACGCACACTCAATGCGTAAATTGCTGTATTATTTTCTAGTAGCGCGTTTTGCGGGTCATTAAAAAAAATTTAGTTGGTTTCATTACGCTATATCTGTAACTATATTTTTTTATTTTACGTCATAACTCAACATAACATATTAAACAAATTGTTCTTAACTTAATAATCTCCCTTATACGCGCATTTCATTAGAACACTAATGTGAAAATAGTGGTGGAATCGCTAACAAAAAGCTGAGGAATGTTAGCGATGCGGGCTTTATCTTTTTCACCGAGATCAGTCAGACTCGATGAACTGAGAAGGGACCGCGCTATAAATAAAATGTCACTCCCCGAATATTTCCATACGACTCGCGCTGACGAGGCGCGCTCGCAAATACGTAAGTACCTCAATTCACGACGAGATAGAAACAAATTTGGTAAATACAATCAATAAACAGAAACTTCACAATCCTTTAAACATTTTAGTTGAAGTTAATCTACGAAAGACACTTTTGAACGAGGAATACTTCGATTAATGCTTAGTTTCCCAAACACACAAATTCTTAATTTTAATCTCGGTCACAACACCTGTATCGATGTTGCGATAAAGACCCCAAGCCCAGGTAAAGATATTTTTATGTCTCTAGACCCCTATTGTCTTTGCATTCAACAACTTGGCGACATTTGAAAGCTTCTAAATGAATTGTGATTTTGCGAAACCTAAATACAATATATTGGCGAGGTGCCCTAAAATTTTATGTTTTTATAACCACTGCTTGTTTAAAATTCCTTTGAAAGTGAGTCGCGTGGTGTCTAAATACGACCTTGAGGTGCGAGTTAATTTCTGGGACCGCTGTAAATCAATTTTATAGCTAACTAGAAACCTGCAATGACTTAACACACAAATAAAATTATTATTGATTGACAAAGTTAGATGTGGTGTCCGATTGCAGAATTAGGTACATAAGGATAATACAATTCCTCGCTTTAATTATAATAATATATTAAGAGAATCTTATCTCCCATATAAGAATGAATTACATGTTCGTATAATTATTGTGCCTTACTTTCTTAAGACAATGTGGGGGAAAACAAAGGCTGCTTCTGGTCGCTTCTCATACGCAAATTAAACGCTTATACGAAGTGAGCCTGCTTCTTTCCTGAGGGAGGATTCAATGTGGTTATTCAAACTAAATGCAATTAAAGTAGGTTTATATTTGTACTTCTAAAAGTACATAGTACATTGATTTTTGCTACGGACATCACATTAATTTCGTTAATGTTTATCTCTCAAGGCTATGCTTTTAATTTCTTAGTTAATAGTTTAATTTCTTGTTGCCACTCGGTCACAGGCTCCAAGGAGACCATTCGAGTTACAGACACTTGTGTTTATGTGAAGACGATAAGCGAGTTATAATAAACTCGATTGTCTGCGACGATGAATGGGGTTTGTTGTGGTCCAATTACCAATACTCGCCTCCGACTGTCGGGAGCGTGCTCCTCATCACGTAAATGGAGTCTACGTTTCGGTTTAAACTGGCGTTTTGCACTTTGTACAAAGTCGAACAAGATTAAGTGACACGCAAGTGCAGTGCACGTTAGGCTTAAATAACAAATAAAACAAATACAATTTGAATAGCACTATTTTTGTTAGTGGGTTTTAGGTACTTATGTATATTACTTTTTTATATGACTAAAGTCTCTATTGAAGTGAAACCAGCCCGGCGATCGTGACCGGTCACCTTAGTGGGTATTTCATTTCAATTTCGGACATAATAGTATTTATTATTCGCTCCAATTGACTCGTGAACGCGGGCAATCTAACGGTGAAGCACTTTTTTTATCTTTATGTAAAATACAGCCGGACCACGTGTCAACAAACGCTTCTGTAATTCTTGAATAGTCGCCGAATAGTGCTTCACTTAATCTTAATTCTTAAGTCCTTATACCATTCCTTGCGGTTCAAGTACTTCTAGAATTAAAGAATATTGAACATTTATCATTCCTTACTTTATTTTTGTGATTTTTAACTCCCATTTTTATGTCGGTTCGAAAGCCTTCGAAGACCTGGAAGGGTCCTCGATTCAATAACGTTCAAAGGTTCAAGTTTAAAGATGGAGTTCTAAAGCTTCACTTAAAAGAGCTTTTTTGATATCAAAAAGGATTTTTTGGTGAATAGGACGGTAGAAACATTCCTGAAAATGTCGTAAATGTCTCGTTTTATTTTTAATTTCTGGTTTACATAAGATAAAACCAAGTTCCATTTGAAAATGGCTGCTGCTACTGTATGCTAGCTATGCTACAAAATAATATTATACAATAAAATAAAATCGTACCTACGGGCATTTTTCCTTACACTACCTCCTTATACTTGTTTCCGGCTAAGTTATAAATTCATACAAATTATGATCCATTTAAAAAAAAGCTAGAAAACTGGTCACGCAATAACCCTCACCGGTGATACAGTATGGGGAATTCTAAACGACTAGGTTCTTTAAAGTAGCTTTACAACTCTTATCACACACAGTGACAAAATGATTCTTCGTTAGAGTAATTTAAAGGAAAACACAACACAGTGTTATTCGTAACAAACGTTAGACGTTACACGTCGAAATTCATATACTTAGAGATACAGTTATGAAATGAATTTGAATCAGACTTGGAAGGAAATATAAAAGCTCGCTTAACTTTGAAACGCTTTCGGTTTCCATATAACGCAATAAGGACAAATCTGGCGGTATTGCTCGTTTGTACGTATTTTCATTAGCGGGCTAACCGCTCGAGCCGTATTCAAGCGATAGGCGATTTTCTATACGTATTTCTATATTAAAATCGAACAATGTATTGAATCCAAAATGACGTATTGTCTTAACGAAAGTAACGTTTTCTTTTTATTTATTAACTCTGTTAACTCACGATGTCGCCACATGAAAATCGAATTTTATAAAAATGTTTATGACAAAAATGTACAATACAAACACAATTACTATTATATTTGGGAAAAATATGCTTTCATTTCGAATTAAATGTAAAAATAATTGCAAATTGTCACCTCTGCACCAATATTGTCTCACTCCCGCTAACAAACAAACAATATCTTGTACCACGCGGCAGTCTATGAGCTTTTAATCAGTTGGCGCGAAGCCAACCGATCGGGCATCAACCTCGACCGGCCGTTTCTGTCAAACGACAAACTGTCAAAATTGTGCGCCTTGCTGGCGCACTAGCAGCATAGCGTCTAAAGATTCCAGTGTGTGCGCCAGGCGACAAAGGTTTATAATAGTAGGCAACTTCTTCGACGAACTTCGGTAGACGAGCGCATCCCATATAAAATGTGACAAAATTTTCAGTTGATGTAAAGAGTAAGCGAGTGCCAATATTGGAGCCGTTTGATTAAGTATGCACCGTGTATATATTTTGCGACACGTTCCAGCTATAACCCGACACCGGCTATTACAGCTCTCACTCGACCAGAATAACGAGGTGCCGAGCCCTCGAGGTGGGTCCACACTGATAGCGATATCGGTCATCTAATCCCTTCAATTAGGACTGTTATCGTTCGTCATAAGTCTTGTTCAGTCAGAGGGAACATGTAGATATGTAATTGTTTTCACTTATCTCCAACTAGTCGAAAATCTGTCTATGTTTTTATATCTCACCATTTACTTCATCCATACGGGCAAATATTTATTTATGACACATTTTTTTAGTATATCAACAGATCAGTTACATTTTACTGAACATATTAAATTACATTGAATCCAATTTCCTCCTATTTTCAATTACTGATATATACACAACATTGACAATGAAGTGATCACATTGATCAATATTAGTATTTAAAAATATGTAAGAGAACAGCAATCGAATCTGATAATAAAGTGTCTGTAGTCGCGTAACTTTATTTTTAAAACGTTTAAGACTCAAAGTATGAATGATCACCCCGTTTCTTGTGTGAAATTTTTTAAAGGTTTTTTACTATAAAGTCGATTACCGAGACGAGATTGATCCAGCTGAGAAAATATTTTTTTTTTTGCAAAAAAGCTCACTTAAAGTAGCGAGTAGTGTATCGCATGCACTGGGACCGCACCTAGAACTGCAACTGCCACAGATTTTACGAGTGACCATTGTTTATCACGAAGCCGGAGCGGTCGCGACCACCCGACACCAGCACAATGCGCGCAAGCCATAGAAAGCCATTTTTAGAAATTTATCACTTCATAGCTGAAAGTGGAATACGAGACTTCACTTCAAAATGAAATTCGCCCCAACACATAGATCTCGCGAATGCGTCCCGAACAATGGACGACAAATATTAATAAATTTGTTTGCAATGCATCAGAAGCTGTTCGACCAACTTACGTCCAATGTGTCGAAGTTGTGATTCACAATCCCGAGCAAGCCTCAGAATAACGTGAAATAGTTTTGTAAACCCGTCGAATATAGAATTGTGAGTTCGTCGAACGCGCGGAAATATTTACGTTTAAGTTAAATGTTTAATTTATCCGGCGACGGGCTAAATATAGCCCGATTACCCACCTTGTATTGAGCCATCCGTCATAGACTATATGGGCCACGTTCGGTTCGTGCCTGTTTCGTTCTACGCTCTACGAGTCTCGACGATGACCTATATAATGCACGTATTTACTACATACTAAAATGGTTTTTCTAGGACTGAGTAGGGATTAAGGCCTTCGCTGCTTTTAAGTCTTCTCGCAAAGTGTGAAGCTCTAATAAACGCGTACGATTTCAACGTTTCTCCTACCCTCGTAGGTATGATCTTTGAGAGCGGATGCGTCTCTACGACGATTCCAGTTAATGTCTATTTAACGAGCCGCCATGCACGCCAAGGCAACAGATACGTGCACCGGAACACGCTCTCGTCCTTCCTTTAAACACATTACGCGCTCCGATTCTAATGATATTTGGCAATTTCAGATGCGGTTAGAGTAGCAAGATGGCGAGCGTGTGGGCGTGGGCGTGGGCGGTGGTGCTGAGCGTGGGCGGCCTCGCAGGAGCTCTGCAGCCGCGATGCGAGGAGATAACCATCCCCATGTGCCGGGGCATCGGCTACAATCTCACATCCTTTCCCAATGCGTTGGACCACGACACTCAGGAGGAGGCCGGTCTCGAGGTAGGCATATCATTATTTAAATGTACAAGCAGTTCATGTCAAGTTTTCTTAAAGTACAAATCGAAAGAATATGATACTATTGGATGAGAACATGCAATTAAAAAAATATCTCTGACTATTCCAGGTGCATCAGTACTGGCCTCTGGTGGAAATCAAGTGTTCGGCCGATCTGAAGTTCTTTCTGTGCTCCGTGTATACGCCTATATGCATCGAGGACTATGCGAAGCCTTTGCCGGCGTGCCGGAGCGTGTGCGAGCGAGCCCGCGCCGGCTGCGCGCCTCTCATGCAGAAGTATGGCTTCCAGTGGCCCGAGAGGATGGCCTGCGAGAAACTTCCTCGCCTGGGAGACCCCGACCACCTGTGCATGGAGGAAAACGACCGCGCGCAAGAACCGGAACCGCCGCGGCCTCCGCCAAGGCGACCTTACAAAAACCACTGTAAAGATCCAAAAAACTGCGAAAGCGGCCCGGCTGCAAGCCCGGGCGAGGGCGCAAGCGAGGAGTGCGCGTGCGCCTGCCGCCCGCCCCTGGTGAGCGTGCGGGCGCTGCACAACGTAAGCGGCGCCGCCAACGCGGGCGGCGTGCCGGCCTGCGCGCTGCCGTGCCGCGGCGCATTCTTCACGCGCGAAGAGAAGGAGTTCGCGGCGGTGTGGGTGGCGCTGTGGGGAGGCCTGTGCGCGGCCTCCACGCTCATGACGCTCACGACCTTCGTGATTGACTCGCAGCGCTTCAAGTACCCCGAGAGGCCAATCGTCTACCTCTCCGTTTGTTACTTCATGGTGGCGCTGGGCTATCTGGCGCGCCTCGCCGTCGGCCACGACGAGATCGCTTGCGACGGTGCCCTCCTGAAGACTTCCTCGAACGGGCCCAGCGCGTGCACCCTCGTCTTCATACTCGTCTACTTCTTTGGCATGTCCTCGTCGATCTGGTGGGTGGTGCTGTCTTTCGCCTGGTTCCTTGCCGCCGGCCTCAAATGGGGCAACGAAGCGATCGCGGGACACGCGCAGTACTACCATTTGGCGGCCTGGTTGATCCCGGCGGCAAAGACGGTCGCCGTACTGCTCGCGGGCGCTGTTGACGGCGATCCGGTAGCCGGCATCTGCTACGTGGGGAACACGTCTTCGGAAAACCTGAAGCGATACGTCCTGGCGCCCCTCATAGTGTACTTCGCTCTCGGCGCGACCTTTCTTCTCGCCGGTTTCGTGTCTCTCTTCCGGATACGGTCGGTGATCAAGCGCCAGGGCGGCATCGGCGCCGGCTCTAAGGCGGACAAGCTCGAGAAGCTGATGATCCGAATCGGCGTGTTCAGCGTGCTGTACGCGGTGCCCGCCGGCGTCGTGATCGGCTGCTTCGCGTACGAGGCGGGCGGAAGAGAGGAGTGGCTGAAGCGGGTCGCGTGCGGGCCGGCGTGCGGCGGCAAACCGATGTACTCGGCGCTAATGCTCAAGTACTTTATGGCGCTCGCCGTTGGGATCACGTCGGGCGTGTGGATCTGGTCGGGCAAGACGCTGGACTCTTGGCGGCGCGTGTGGCGCGGAGGACGCGCGCCGGCGGGCGCTCACCGTGCGCTCGTCAAGGGCGCCGTGTGACGCGAGGCGGCGGCCGGCCCACCGCCCGCGCCGCCCGCCCCTCCGCCGCATCCCCTACCTCCCCCTCCGCCCCACCACCCGTCGCACGCGCCCTCCGCCTCCGCGCGGTCCGGTCAGCCGCTCTCCGACTATGGGCCCGTTTAAGGGAGAAGCGCCAGTCGAAGAGGTTTAAAGCCCGGACAGCATGCTAAGTGCGATGAACTGACCCCGTACTTCCGATAGTGGACTTAACTGCGACCGCTCTTGCCCCGATGTGCCATTCTCATTGTCGTCTTCGCCGCAAAAGGGCGAAGCAGTAGTTCCGGAGTCGATGTGTGATACGTACGGACTGTGACTTTGTGTAGCGAGTGTTTGTGCGTCGCGCCCTGTCTAGTCTTAGCATATAACGAACGCGCGACGCGGCGTGACGATCGTCAATACGTAAATAGATAGAATAAGCGCGGCAGTGACCCGTATCCTTGGTTCCACGTGCAGACAGTGCTCATACTCTTTCAAATTACGATTACTGTAATACATATTCATTCCAAACACCGAACCGGGAACCGTTAGTAATACTTTGACTGTGTAACGCCCCAGTCTTGTACTTTACTCACCTAGGCCTGATTCCAATAATATATGCAACTAGAATATCTAATTTGGAATTTAAAAAAAGTTGTCATGACACCTAAAAAACAAATTTACCGAATTAGTTCATCGGGAAGTGTCGGCTAATAGTTTAAACAACGGAAACAGGTATTTAGTGGAATTGGACCTGGCCGTTACTCCCCACAAAGATGATCCTTAACATTACACAGAGCAAAGTCAAATCGCCTCTTAACTGAAATTACTAATGTGATTTAATATTTTCTCAGAGCATATAATTAATTTGTCGATTTCATGACATAACTTTACAGTGATATTTATCGAGTTGCAGATCTCTATTCACCGACTTCCTAAATGTTTCTGTGAAATCAATGGCAGTCACTGTCGACCATCGATACTCGTTTCAAGGAAGAATATGCCCCTTAATGTATCGTAGTCCGTGTCTATTGAGTCACTCTCATTTTATTGTTCTTCTTTGACACGTGTCTAGCTTATGATTATGATGAGACTAATTGACTTTATACCTTTTTAATATTTGGGTAAATTGTATGTAATTTAATAATTATGTTAGAGATAACGTTGTAAAATTGTACGTAATAATATATTGTATCTATGAATGTGGTATACGTAATAATTAAAAATAAATATTTCTATTCATCTTGGATGTAATTAAAGTAGGTAGTTCTTAAAGCAAACCGCCGCTAGGTGGCACTGTTTACAATGATAACGCCATCTGTCGGCTAGTAGTAATAAACTTCACACTGCCATCTATTTGTACAGTAGAACAATCTTTTTCCCATTTGCTACTTTTCTATGTAAAACAGTGCAATAGTTTTGATGTCAATTGAAAGAAAATGTTTACACGTTTGTGTTCGGACACACGAACGGCGCAACTTGACGAAAGGAGAATTGTAATTTATTTTATATCCTAACTGTAGATAAATAAAGTGACATTTTTATGTACTAACTCGCTTCCATTCATTGACTCACCTATTAAGCCTAATAAAAACCTAATTGTTGTTGATTTCACTTAAATGTAAACAATATTTTGCACTTCTTTATGTGAAATTTATTTACGTCAAGTAATCTAGTCTATTCAGTACAAGTTATCACACTACATTTACGTATTCCATTCAAATAGACAGGAATTTCCTTTGAACCTGTCATTTTACACAAAAAAAATAACTGTAACCACAGAAAGACCCACGACAAGGCTTTGTGAAGATTTATACCTTCTACATAAATACAAAGCCTTTGTACTACATGGTACTACTATATGCAGAAAAATGAATAAAGTACTAATAATTACGATCTTATTACATAATTTACACTTGATTTAAAAAATCATTTTTAATAACATCAATAATTATTGGCACGGATTGCTTTCTTAGATATACATAGACAAAAAATGTTAACTGTACCTTGTAAACATATTCATACACAGTAATCATCTACCGATTACTCACTAAAAAATAGATATACAATCATTACTGTAAAATTACTACATAGCGAGCCCTACAATTAACTTATCACATCTATCACTAACCCCTTTTATACTTATAAATTGTGTACATAACTGTTGATAGAGGAGCCCAAAAGACTAGAATTAATTTTTTCCTACTCACCATGCAGAATAAACAAATAACTACCGAATATAAGGAACTAACAAATAGATAACACTAGGAAGGAAAATGACTACTCCCAGCATAGACTCGAAAGACTATGCTTTTTAAAATTTGCAAAATAAAATATGTATGGGTAATATAAAAGTCGCAATCGGAAAGTGAAATACCGAAGACATAACAACCCAACAAATATGCTGCCAACCTAATTTTGTCTTTGGATATATGTATTCAGATTCCCAGACAAAGTTCAACACATTTTAGAAGTATCAGACACGTTTATAGCTATACATTGTTATCATTAGAACAACGGCAAATTGTACTTGTACTACCAAAAAACCATTAATTGGTTGTTAATGTGAGTTAAGACATTCCTAGGACTCTGGTTCAGGTGGCACGATTATCAAACAAAAAATATCAATAAGCAAGATGTCATTGTTCCGCATAATTGTGGAGAAAATAGTCTCAGCTGGTGACATTGCACTGGGTATAGTACATAGCTTGACTGTAATGTTGCTGGACACTCTGCAGAGATGTCACTTCACTCGAGTAATAGTTGTCAGAGTCGAAGCTCTGCAGGCCAGCGTGGTGGAACTCCTGAGGCCGTAGCTGCTCTTGGAGACCAGGGTCGTCTGAATTCTCTTGAGACTGGTACTGTGTGTGCTCCTAAAAATATGCAGTAAACAATAAGTGCGGATATTTTAAATTGAATAAGAAATATAATTCTTGAATAAGAGCATTCCAATTACTGCAATATATTAGGCATTGTGACATTTTCTAACGGCTTAGTAATATTGCATCAAACACGGGTAGTAAGATTATTTAACTAAAATAGAAAGCGTTTTGAACAGTTAAAAATTGTGTAAATCGTAATAACTGACAAAGCTTTCTTAATGCGAAATGTACCTGTGAAAGCTGATATTTGCATCTCTTAAAACGTCCATAGAGAGAAGAGTAAGGCAAGTTGAAGTGGATAGCCGCTTGATTTATAGACATCTGTCCCACTCTGAAATTTATAAATTAAATATTAGTTATTTTAATCTCCACTGTCACAAAATATTTCAGTTTGGTAAAGCAAGAAAAACTCTTAAAATAAAAGTGTAAAATGGACTATATGGCATCGGCCCACACTAGGCAATATTTTAAAGGTTATGGTGAACTTTAATTTTACCTTACGGCCTCGAGCGCTTCTCCCATGGCGTCTTCAGACCACGGAGTGGGGTTTGAGCGAGACAGTTCGATGCCTTCTCGCTTGCACCGACCGTACAATGTTCCTTCATGAATAAAATATTCAATCCATAAACTGAAATTCTATTAAGAGTTAAGTGTCTGCTTGATAAAATTCATACCCTTAAAATTGTTATAAAGTTTTATGTTTTAAGTAATGAAGTAATATGTTACCTTCATTCTTTATTTACAATTTTTTTCAGTCACAAAATAAATACTAAACTTACCAGTCGGTATTCCATAGTGAGAAGCTGCCCTTTGCACTGATGCTGCACCACATCGTATGGCTTCCAGAGCTCTGTCCAAATCAGCCCTGCGCCAAGCGGTAGGTGCTGCGTTGAAAGGCGCCGCTAAACGAATACCCTCTCGACGAGCTATCTTGTATAAGGTGCTACTCGGAATACCTGCGTTGTTAATTCGTGCGTTTTATATCAGAACAATAACAACATAAGAATAAGTAACTTGTTGGACTTTTTATTAAATCTATAAAGAGAAAATCGAGAAAAAATTTCACTTCTTATTTGTGTGCATTAGGATAGACGATCAGAAGCTTTTGGTTTGCATATTACGGATGTTAATAAGATAGAACAATGGATAAACCCTGACGCCTGGTTGATGTTTGGTAGAACGGTGATGGTGGTACAAGGTGGGTAAAGCGGCATATTCTCTAACCATTAGAATACTGATACACTAGCCACTTTATGAAGGTGCACCAGCTTTAGAGTTTGGTAGCTACGAGATCCCCACTATCAATTATTCCCCTTGCTCTTTCTTCAACCAGAACAGTCAGCTGGTACTGAGTAGAATCAGCCCACAAATGGCAACAATGGTCTTAACATTGGATTTGAGATATAGTTCAAAACAACGAGTCAGGCTAATTTTATTTGAAATTTCTAATGGTATAAGATTTGTGGAAGACAAATTGTGTCGCCTTACCCATACCCAAAGCTTTACAAAGTATAGTCAAATATATCAACATTTTAATCTTTATATTTTATTTAATAGTGACACCAGGATAACATATACATGGGTATAAAAGTTAAAACCTTACCATAAGCTTTGCTCGCCTTATTTGCAGATATAGCCCCAGTTCGCAGTGCATGCAATGCTGCTTTCAAATCTTCGTCACTCCAGGACTTGGAGGAACCTTCCTTCTTTGGAGTGTCAATGCCAAGACGATGAGCTCTCTGCCAAAGGGTAGTTGATGGGATACCATAAGTTGCAGAAGCCTAAAAAAACATTTTAAAATTTATTAGGCTAGACTAGAATTGTTTTTATTTAACAATAAAAAAAGGGCATTACATTACAATACATCTCCACCAATATGAACAGTCCTGTTATAGTATCCCATTGATAAATCATAGTAAGTTTAAAACATCAAAGTTTTTTAGTCAGCAAATAACTAAAAATGGAATAGAAAATAAAAAAAATTCAACAAGTTGGAACAATAGAATTTATTGTTATGTGAATATTTGTGTAGATTTCAAAGAAAAGCATACAAATTATTTTGTTTCCTGAGTTTTAGGGAGCTAATCACTGTCTTTTACGGAGTTGTGTAGCGAGCTAATCTTTGTAAATAGTATCGCTCTGTATTTGTAAAGTGAGAAAAGAGATTTTTTTACCTTAGTAAGACTCATATGATGATTCTTGAGAGCATCCAATGCTTTTTCCATATCCTTTTGTGACCAAGTCTTGGGAGCTCCTCGACCGCTTGGTTCTGGTGTGCTACTACCACTTGCTTCATCTCCGCTGAAGTTCTGACACTCTAAAATGTAATATCGATATGCTCACAAATTGAATGTGCTCAAAGTACAGTTGAGCCAAACGCACTTATTAATCAATTTAATTACATTTTGGGAACCTTACAAAAATTGAAATTAAGCCCGCCGGCTATAGCCACAGATTACTGAAACCATAGGCTTTTACAACACAGGAAACAAACAAAACAGATAAAGTATATCAGTTTAAGTCTGTGGATAAAATGACAGATAAAGAAAAACAACAAGTCCAATAAATGTATTGTGATTGTTTAATTATTTATTTATTTAAATTAATAATATTCTACTACAGTATATATAAAGTATTAATTCGACCGCATTTATGACCATATCGTAACCTTTATTGGCGTCAAGAACGGAACATTCAATTATTTAATTACAAGTATTAGCTACAAAATATACTAATATACTAGCTGTGCCCGCGACTTCGTTCGCGTGGAATAGTGATTTGGGGTAGAATTTTTAATTAATTAGGCTGTTTATTTATTTATGTAATTGCGCATTTATCGCAGCCAATATATGTTGTAAGCGTTTCTTTGCCGCAACACTCTCACCTCAAATCACTCCTACTCTCACTCTCACTCCCACTGAACCTTACCACCCCCTTTTCGCAATAAAAAGTAGCCTATGTCCTTTCTCAGAGTCTAGACCGTCTGTGTACCAGATTTCATTAAAATCCGTTCAGTAGTTTTGACGTGAAAGAGTAACAACTCAGACAGACAGAGTTACTTTCGCATTTATTATATTAGTAAGGATTACAGTATAATGTATGCTTTTTCATACATAATAATAATACTTCCTTGACTTACCTCCTTCCGAAAGTGGTTCATCTTTTATATGCAGAAGTGGCGCGAAATCGGATGTGTCTAATATATCGGTGGTATTTGATATTAAATGGTGTTTTTCCATCACCTCTGTTCCCTATAACAAATGGATATCTTGCGGTATTTACAAATAGTAGTAACAATGGTAGATAATATGTACTAGTAATCTTATAGTTTACGATATACCCCCATCGGAGTGGCAGGAATTCTAAGTAGAGTTTCAAATGTCAAAACTGTGAAGGTGTCTAAGAACGACACTTCGACTCTTATGGATAGAAGTTACGGCACGAGACTGCGTTTTAACCACTTATTTATATAAAAATGATCAATCTGATTATATTTAAACTTAACCTCCAGTTAAATATAGAAGAATGTCTTAAATACTCAATTTGCCGCTAGATACGCATGAGTGAGGAGTATCTTTGCTTGTTTAAAAAATCTGTAAATATGACTTGAAGCTTAAAAGTAATTGCATTTTGGCATTTTATTCTAATATAGGCTTAAAGAAATTATATTTAACCTTTAACAATTAAAACTAGAAGTTTTTAGTGGGGATAGTTACGTGCATAGTGCTCTTGACTGGTTCTAGCATAGCCAGAGACGCCTCCCGCGGTGCCGGTAAGTCCTCTCGCACGGGTGTCGCCGTCGGAGGGGCAGGCACGGGTACGAGCTCCGAGTTAAACTGAAACACGCCATAAGTCCCATGACTGAGGCTATTTGCAGACCAATCTAATCATTTGATATAACTGATCAATTGTAAACAAATGATGTGTAAACCTATCGAAATTGCGAAGTAACAACACCGCTAATACTCTGTCTTATGCTTTCACTCTCAGACAGCGAGAATTCACTCGATTATAAATAAGTTAAGGTTTGCCAACAGGACAAAAAATGTATGCACATAAATTATAAGTTCAAAAATTAACCTGCAATTGCTCCAAGAGGTGTGTCGAGACATTATCTACCTTGTATTGCAACTGTGCGTTTGACTTAACCGCCAGCGATTTAGTTTCCTGAAAATTGTGTCTTATGTTTTTATATTTATCACATATAAAGCGATTATTGTCAATATTATAAGATTTTGCTATACTCACAAAGACATTTGCAGACTGGCAATAAATTTCTTCCTCGTCCGAAGTCGGCTCACACTTTACTCGACATTTTTCGTACCCGGGCATTTCCTGTTTATAATATCTCTATTAGGTCCAAATAGCAACTTTTAAATGAAACGCTTATTTACTCAGACCGACACCGACGCCCGTTCTCACGAAATAAAACATTTTGCCTCGAAATGTCGCGCGATTCGAACAATCGGCATAACACAAGTACACACAGTTTACATAGGCAATTAGACAAAAGGAAGCGAGCTTTATTGAATTTTTCTCGATTGGTGCACAAATGAAGAGTGCAAACTCGATTCCCTCTCTTTCTTTTCCCGGGCTGAGCCTGTTGCGAGGTTTTTTAGTGTTATTTTGCAAACACACAATCGACATTCCTTACGTAGCGAAACTCCCGCGGACAAAGTTTGAAAGTTCGCGATGTTATATCATAACATGGACCGGCGCGGTACATCGCACTTCGCGTGTCACCTGTCGGCCGCAGCGAGCGAGTTAACCCTCTCCTGGCCCCGCGGTCCCGCGTTCAGTCGGCAGGAACACGCGTCCAGCCGCGGGACTGCGGTCGTCTTCGGCGAAGGACGACGAAAAGGGGAGCCGATAAACATCGAAGAAACGGAGACGAGCGACCTATCTGTTGACTCACCTAGTCGGGCGCGCACGTGGGGTCCAGTTTCACGAATGCACAGTGACCTTCGGGAAACGATGGGATGTCGCAAATGAAAGTGAATTCACATTTCACACACCCGATCGTCTGCGTCGCTGCGTGGCGCATGTTTAGGAGGTGCAGGGCGGGCTCACTTTTTTCCCGCGCCAAAGAAATAAAAACAATGGCCTTTTTTGCCGACTCGAGTGGAGCGTCGCGCAATCGGTTCGCTGCGAAATTCATAATTCGCTAGTCGCCTCTCAAATGTTCACTTGTTCCTTGGATATATCCAAAGTTATCCACTGTTTATTTTGTACCCTTATTTATTTAAGTACAATATAACCAGGATTATACCCTATTTTATATCAAATAACAGACATTCGCGCGGATTCGACTTTATTTCAATAAATTGCGAAACTTTATTCATAATTTAAGGAAAAAAATTAAACTAATAAGAGGGTAGATACTTATTACACTGTAGGTATGCAGAGAAGGGGAGGTACCCCGCGCCCATCTGGCGCCTGTGGGGCGCCTTACTCGACTCCGATTGATTTTTATTACAAGAATTCACTCTTGTATTTTTTGTTTCCGCACACCGAAATAAAAGAAGGAGCGACGCACACAGACGAAGCGGTTAATTCGTTTGTGCTAATGCTATTGATTTTTTAACGAAAGGACTATGCTTGGAGAAGGAAAAGTGCTCGAATTTTATTTCTCTTTCATATTGTGGAAATATGACGTGTATTGTTTTTGCTAAATACAATGATTAACAAGGTAGTTACATTTTACTTAAACTTATATGCTATGCACATTATTCCACCCTTATCACACACACACTGTGAAATTATTATTTAAAAAATCTAATGTTATCTACTACTATCACTATTAATGAAATTAATATTAGAATCAAGTTTCACAGTAGTGTAGTTGATTAATAATTTTAACGTAAGATTCAATTGAAAAAAGCAGCCCTCTGCAAAAGAGGAAAGTCACAAGCTGTACTTTTAGAATTCGTAAGGAAGTCTGAAAAATTTGTATGTGTGTTAATCAACGAATATTTTATTTATTTCATAAAAATGATCGCTACCTTTATAACTCTAATACATATATCTATCTATACATGAAAACTATCGTAGTTGGTATGAGTTGCAGATATGCAACTCGTGATTCAACAGGGAGTTCAAAGATACTGCTATAGATGGCAGTATTATAAAGTCTGATGGGCGCAAATAACTAAAAAATCGACAAAGCCTAACATAAAATTATTCTTTTAAAAATATTAAATCGTTCAAAAAATACTTTGAATTGTGTTACTTAACGTTTTTGAATTAATTACAAGCATATTTTGACAAGAATCACGAGTTCTCTTACTTGATAGGTAGGTAATTAGGTCAAGGTAAAATTATGCCATTTGTTAGAAGCAAAATAGGTACATATAATGGACATATAGAAATCATATAAAGATAAAATTAACAAAAATATGTATAAGATAGTGTCGTTGCATAATAATACTGTTAATTAGTTAATATCAGCATTAAGAACAAGTTTTAATGAGATATTTAGTTGATCAAATGTATAAACCAAGCTTTCCAATTTTCTTACTGGCAATAATTTTATGAGCTTATTTTGGTCAATCTGTATCAATGCTGTTGTTCTTGTCTTCGTTGAATTTTTGTAGAGGTGCCTTTCGCTTCGCTAAACTTGCAACATAGCATAGTTTAGTATTTTCATTTCATTCTATCGAGAAAGCTGGCGGGTGTGCAAAGTAAAGTGTTGATTAGGAAAACGATTGTGTTTTATTAATTTTCAGAACAAAAGTTTGTGTTAATAACTTGTTAGAATTGTTAATGAAATAGAAAAGGTGAGTGTTTAAAGAACCTTAAAATGTTTATGTGTAAATGTTAAGCGTGATGGACGAATGACGACTGGCGAGTGCTTACTTTAATGCTATGACTTTTCTGAAAATTTCCACTGCTTGTGAACTTTTCGAAAGTTTCTCAAAAGTTTCACATTGCTCTCAACTCGACCATCTTGTTTAGCATTTCTATATATAAAGTTCTACAAAGAAAGCCCTACGAAAGGAAAAGTTTATTCAGGAAATAGTAAAACTTAGAATTTTCGTCGCCATTTTATTTTTTGTCGCGGTGGAAAAGCGGCCATTTTCTTTGTGCCGCGTCGCTTACGTCTACTTTACGTGGTCATAAAGTTAATTTAGTTAAGTTGAGACGTGATTTCACCACATGAAGTGATCTGGGTAAGGTATTCCTTATCGCGAGTCGTGGCGCGAGTGGAATATTTCAGTCTGAAATAGTTTTCGTGATGGCCTAATTATTGCGTTGTGTTAAAGTGGTTTATGTTAATTTAGTTGTTTTGTGAAATAGGAGGGTGGGCGCGACGAGTGGCTCGACGCAACAATGGACGACGATCAGCAGTTCTGTTTACGGTGGAACAATCACCAATCGACGTTGGTGTCTGTTTTCGACACACTTTTGGAGAAAGGAATTCACGTGGACTGCACTTTGGCTGCGGAAGGACAAACGCTGAAGGCGCATAAAGTAGTGCTGTCCGCTTGTAGTCCCTATTTCGAGGTGGGTATCGTGTTAACGCGCTAACTAGGTCAATTGATTCGTGTGTAAGTTAGTACAAGCTAACACAGTTTTGCTCTAATAAACATTCCAGTCGCTTCTAGCTTTCATATACTACAGGCAATTAGTTTATATTAATGTATAGATGAGTTGGCAACAGAAAGTTGTACATACAACTTTTCAAATACTCGTTCTTAATCATTATAAAATTTGTTACTCTTACTGACAATCTAATGACACAATTAATTACTTTAATTCAAACAAATATACACATATAACATAAAAAACAACACCCAATCCCACTGATATACCTTTTTTAAAATACGGTTAAATAAAAAAGTAAAGTTTTCAATAAAAACAATCAACTCTATTTACAAACTACACTTTTGTTGCAGAATGTTTTGTCGCAGCAATTTGACAAGCATCCAATAATAATTTTGAAAGATGTAAAGTACGCCGAGTTGAGAGCCATGATGGATTATATGTATCGAGGAGAGGTGAACATATCTCAGGACCAGTTGGCTGCCTTGCTTAAGGCTGCAGAGTCACTCCAGATCAAGGGCCTGTCTGACAACAAGCCGTCTAGGCCTCCGTCGCGCCCTACCCATGTCTCACACCCCCCTGCACACCCGCCAAGAGTGCCATCACCACCCCCACAGGTATATTTAAAATAAATGAACACTTATTCTTTTAATTAATAGATTGCATTGAATTTATTTAATGAATGAACAAGTTAGAACATAATTTTCTATGTCTTACTGAACAATAACCTGCTGACCTTGACATGTATGAATACACCTTAAGAAAGAAGGCCTATTATAAGTTAAAGATCTACTTTGTTGTTAATAGTACTACTATAAATACTAGTACTATTAACTACACTACAGCACAGCATGTCTCGTTTAAATGTTGTGTGGCTGACGTATATTACCTACCCTCAAGTGAAAAAACTTTAAATATTTTCTAACTTAAATCTTCCTTAGATGTATTTTTTTGTCATAGTGCACTTCTATGAGGGTATTCTTTTCAGAGCATAATATTCAAGTGGTTGTTAGTACAAGCTTAGTAAAAAACGCTTTGATTTTTTCATAATATTGTATCTTTTTAAATCTTTCTTTATCAGGGAAGTGTAAGAGCAATATTTAAATTCCAATTTATATAAATTATAAGTAAAATATAAAACTCATTACTTCATATCTCTGTGGAACAGATTAAGGTTAATTGTCAGAACTACTTTAACTGTAACATGTTGTCTATTTCTAAGTAGTATTCAACACTAAACTGACATAGCCTTGCACAATTATTAAAGCCTGCAATAAACTCAACCATCTTCTAACGCACTTACCATATTATAGGTTATTAGAATGTTTTGAGTATATTTATTGAAATTGAAAGAGATTCTTCTTTCTATGGACAATTTAGTTATTGTAGTTATTTCTTAACTATGCGTTTGAAGCGTCTACATGCTGTTCTACTTGAATTAAAATATGTTAATATTAATTGCTATCTCAATTAAGTAACAAAACTTGACTTAGAATTCTGAACCTGGGGTTGGATCATCCCGCTGACATAACTGTTGTCTTATCCAATGACCAAATAAAATTCCTACAATATGCAACTAAGCTTAGTCTTTTCACTTTTGCTTAAGACTGTTGTGATGCATCTATTGTATCTATAAAAACAACTGTATTGTGTTTCATACATACAATATTGTGTGACTGATTTAAATTTCAGTGTGTTCATCACATTATTAATGTTGTTTCGCAAGGCACTTGCATTGGAAAGGAGATAAGGTGTAACAAAAAGTGAAAAAATAATCTTATTCTTGCACTTTGCTCCATTTTTAACAATTTTATGAATATGCATTTAGTTTTTTAATTCCATTGATTACTTTTTTAGGACAGTCACAAATAATAATCTATCTATATCATATGTCCATTATGTTTTCAAAGTAATCCTATCTTTGAGAAGTTTTTGTTTTGTCTTACTTGTCTGTAAATAGTAATCAGTAAACCAACTAATGCGATGATAAGCCAAAAGGTATTAAAATACTGGACTTCTTATTATGATAGAGAATGACACACGACCATGGGATCACTTGATGGCAGGTGAAAGACCCCAGCCATATTGTTATATCTCTAAACAAGATGCGCTGACGACCCATTTTAGCTTTGGATATTCGGAACTTACTAACGTAGATTGTTCGATTGCGCAGGCGCGTGATGGCAGCGTTGACAGCCGCGAAGGGTCGATGAGTCCGAGCCGGCGACGCAAGAAAGTGCGAAGGCTATCCAGCGAGCCGGCGCCCCCGATGGCCGTGCCCTCGGCTCCCGACCAGGAGGACATGCCGTGCAAGGAGGAGGTCTCGCGGGACGGGGTCGAAGACCTCACGCTGGACGAGGACGCCGGTGACCCGCCCGCCCAACACAACGACGTCGTGCGCAGTTAGTAGTCATAGTATTTTTAAGATTTATTTTTCTAGTGACATTAGTATGTAATAAGTAAAACGCTATTACAATATGTTGGTTTTGTAGGCAATGTTACAATCATTTACTTTTTTTCCTTTTGAATATCTATCAACATAATAATACAAAGCGTTCGACGCGAATACCCACTCGCTAATTGTATGTATACATAAGTTACTTGTAAGACTTACTTTTACAAAACTTGGGAGAGACTAATCACCCCCGACACCGGGTATTCTACCCGGTGTCGGGGGTGTAGTAGTGTAGTGTAGTACTAGAGATATTAACTGCGTATAATAGGAAATGTTGGATTAGAATTTATAATCACAAAATATCATTTTGTGATTATAAATTAAAGTAAGTTGCAAATGCTTCAAAGCTAAGACTTCGTCTAACCCGAGTGCATCTATTTCAGATTTTCAATGGCATATGGAACGATCTCAAGATGAAATAATGAATTCAAATGACAGTGTCCGAGAGTCGCAAGGTAAGATAATTTTATGGTACTTGCGACCGGCGGCGTTCGTCGCTGCCCTTCGCAATATTAACGATTCGCATCGTCGCAGTGTCGGGTCCTCGTCGACGATGCGGTTCGTTGTGGGGTCACTTATCCTTTGGAACGATCGACTTTTCTTTTTCATTTTTTTTCGCTTCACGTTAATGTTAAAAGTCGCTCGCTCCAAGAAAGAAGGAACGGATGAAATGCGCAATGTCTTCCCATAATTTGAAACTAGATAAACAGTTATCGCTTAAAATAATCTATCTATTATCTATATTTAAATATAATCACACCGGAGTCGAGAGTGCTAGTGTTTTCACATGTGAAACTACAAACGATACCTAATCAATATCTAATTCTATCAATTACTAATCCTATACGAAGTATCTATGTATCAATTATTTAAAAAGACATTTTCAGGTTTATGGTTTACGGTAAAGGTTTTGATCGTTGTAGCCTCCGAGGCGAGGTAACGGCCGGAGGTAAGTATCCCATTTGGAGTTATTACGATTTCGCTTATGTTGTTTGTCATGTGGGGTCTTTCATTGCATGTTCCACGTAGTATAACGGTAACCATTAGTGCTAACGAATTAATTACGATTGCGGAGGGGGCGATCTGGGTAAGTCGAATTTAAAGTATTTATTGTATTTTTAATAATAATTATTTATTAGTAGACCGCGTGCACTTCCGCTAGAGCGATGCGATTCTTATTTTCCTTATATTTCTGTTCTCCGACCCGCGAACCGCCAGTGTTGACCGCGAGTGGACTTCTCGTCGCACGAAATCGGAAAGGTAAATATTCGAATGTCGTCCTAGTTTGTCGGTTATGTGGCTTATTTATTTATTTTATTTTTTTTATTTGCATTCACATGTGATTTCACTGCGGTCACTTCTAGCAGTTCATGTTTTACGTCCAGTCTCCGCGTGCATGTTCACTAGGCAGGATGAGCATGACGGTTTTGTTTCCTAGTGGATGCGCATTTCATTTACCCACACTCTCTCGAAGTAGCGACGCGTCCGACGCGGCTACGTAATCAGGGCGTGCGAGCGCGTCCACGGAGGCAGCGCAGATTCCTTTCGCGACCTCATTACGCTAGCGCGATGCATATATACATAAACATATTTATTTTCTGTGCCTAACGAATTTCTAGCCATTAAAACGCCTTCGCTTCACCATTGCTTTATTTCCACTTGCAGAATCGCTCTTTACCATCCTGCGATACGCTAAAACCCCCTTTCCATTAACACGTGGACTTTTAAAACGATGCCGCGGCGGGACCGCGCTCCCCGCGAAGGCCAACCGTTCGAGAAACCGTCGCCGCAAATCGGGAAAAATCCGTAAAAGGAGAGCCTCGATGAAGAGGAGGGGCAGGAAGGCCGTCAAACTCGAGAGCGACGACGACGCGGAGGCGAGCGCTCGCAAGAACAAGTCCGCGAGAAAGAGACGCCGTCGGTCCATGAAAGTGGAGTCGGAGGGCGGGGAGGGCTCGCAGCTGCGCCACGTCTGCTCGATTTGCAAAAAGAAGAAGTACAAGTACCGGAGGAACAGGTTGCGGCACGAGAAGTACGAATGTGTCAAAACGAAACAGTTCGGTTGCGACATGTGCGGCAAGAAGTATTCCCAGAATAAGACCTTGCTCTGCCACATCGCTGAAAAGCATTCTTAACCGCTTCAACTTTACATTTTTTTTACCTCACTAAAGTTTAACTTAGTTTTTAGTTACTTAGTTTTACCTCGATCTCGTTGCCCAGTTGTAAAACATGGATTGTTAAATGAGACTGACAACTCATCATTTTATTCCTTTTTAGATATAAGTAGTTTTTTACCAAAAAAAAAAGTGCCATGCTTATTTTTTATACTTTTATACATTTTTGCTTTTTCTCGTTAATCTTGTAAAAGATCATTCTACTACCGACATACTGACCAGAGGTCACTTTTTTTAGGGTAGTTAGAAAGATCTTATATTTTTTGTCTCGGTTGATTTTCTTAAGTTTAAATATATCGTTTGTTTAGTTTAAATTTGGGTTTTCTTTGAGCTTTGATTTCACCTCTTCGTACCGTCTTTGATCTCGTTGTATTATTGGCGAACTTTTTCTTGCAGGTGAAAGAACGCCGGCGCGCGGAATAATGACGCGTAGTAAAAAAGTGAGCGAGGAAGCGACCGCGACGACCCTAGCCATATTGAAACCGGTGACCAAGATTCCTCACACTCCGCCGGAGGAGAGCAAAGAAAACAAGAAAGCGGCCGTCCAAGAGAAGGAGCCTTTCGAGGCGCGCGAGCCCAAGGTGGAGGGCAGCTACCACATCGTGCCGCGCGCCTCGTCGCAGCTGCCGTGCGCGCAGTACAAGACGGACAAAGGCTACAAGTGCCCCAACTGCCAGCGCTGCTACAACGCGCGCAAGAACCTCGTGCGCCACGTGACGCTCGAGTGCGGCCGCGAGCCTCAGTACAAGTGTCCCTACTGCGCCTACAGCAAGCACCGCCGCAACGAGCTCAAGAAGCACATCGAGAAGAAGCACCCCAACTGCATGCAGCTGGCCTCGAGCCCCGTCACCGTCAAGTGATCGCCTTCGCGCCGCTAACCTAGTGCCTTCATGATCTTCCTTTTTTACGGTATTATTAAGTAAAGCCTCGTGTATCGCTCTATTGATATTGATATTGGAATATTTTTGGATCTATTAAACGATTTTACTCAACCGGCCTCTCATTTAGCCCGCCCCCACTTATGGGAAGATACGACACGTTTGGATTGTGCATGTTTGCATGAATTAGAAGCTTCGCCTTTGATTTCTAACCGAGATTATTTTTTATTATAACGCATTTCTTTGGTTCCTTAATTAGCCTTTCGTAGTATTAACAGAAGTCGACGTAGTTGCGCTTAACTTTTATTTGCAAAAGCATTAATTGTTGCATTTCAGAAATACACAAGGATAGCCACCTGCCCTCGGCACTATTGTCGCTGCTCTCGGTGCAGCACCAGCAGCGCTCGCTGGCGGCCGCGTTTGTGCCGCCCTGCATTCAGGTAACGGACATGATGAAGCCCAAAGAGATGCTCTTCCCGCCGACGTTGCCTAAGTTGCCGATCGACTCGCTCGACGTCATCCCGGAGAATATCAAGGCGCACCTCTTGCAGCAGGCCTTTATGCAGAACAACAATTCGCTCGGGCAGAAGGACGAGCACGACTCTGAGGCCGAGCTCGACGATACGGACGACATCGCACTGCCCGAGGAGGCCGATTACTACGAGAGCAACGCGTTCGCGAACGCGAGCGGCGCCTCCGACGTCGCCGACGCCAACGATCGGAGGCGGGACGGGCACAGCTCGGACGACGCATCGCGCCAGTTCGAGTGCCGGCACTGCGGCAAGAGGTACCGCTGGAAGTCCACCCTGCGCCGCCACGAGAACGTGGAGTGCGGCGGCAAGGCGCCCGCGCACCAGTGCCCCTACTGCTCGTACAAGGCCAAGCAGCGCGGCAACCTCGGCGTGCACATCCGCAAGCACCACAACACGGAGTGGTACGTCTACGCGAGCAACAAGGTCCGCCGCAACAAGAAGACCGCCGTCTAGCGCCCACCCACACCAAAGGCTACCTGACCAAAACGATACCGCAATATTTATACGTTACGTTATTTTACGATATGTCGAAGAAGTTTAATATTAGTTGTTATTATACACGAGGATAGTTAACGAGCACATTCCCTAACGGCGTTAGTTGTAATTTGTTGTTTTTCGTTTTAGAGTCTATTATTATTCGTTAGTTAAGACTGACCCTAAGTATTGTCGTGGCGACGCGTGCCAAATGGATTACCAAATCGTTGAACGTCATTCGACACCGACTCGAATTTGCTTAGTTATAGTATCCCGACATTCCTCTGAGGAATAATTCCACTGTTCGTCCAGGGACCACACTCGTCTTCCCCGAATCGAGAAATCCAAAGCTAATGCGTAGAATATTAAGATAGAAAATGAATTATTGCTATGGCTAGGTTATAATGACGGATATTACGCGAGGAGCTCGGAAAGTGCCTACGATGTTACCTTTAGTTAAATATATTTATTCGTTCGGTTTCGGTGTACTGGGATCATTGATGTGTTCAAGAAAATGTATAAAAAAATTATTGATATTCATTGATATTTAATTCGCAATAACTGTTATTATGTATTGTTTGTTGTTGTTGTTAACGTAGGATAACGAAGCTATTTGACCAAAGTCAGTATTAGTTTAAAGGTGTGAAGTATTGAATGTTGTCGTTCCGTCGTCGCACGCGGGTGTTCGGCGCCGACCACTACCCGCCCGACCTATCACGTTTGTTGGACATAACTTATCTTTTAAGTTCATATTGTTTTTTAATATTATTCAAATTTTAGTTTATCATTTTAGTGTGATTTTATATGAATATATTGGGGTTTATTTGGTAGAGAAGTTTAATTAAAAATATAATATTTAGATTTACGTTTTGTATTTTTTGTTGCATCCCCCTTTATCCATTGTTCGTTTAAGTTTTCTAGTTTGCTTTCGCGTTTCGGTAAGTGGTTCGTTTTGTTATTCACGGGAAGTGCACGGTGCATGACAACTCGCTCGCTTTGGACTCACGATTTTGGTTCCTTCTCATTTGTTCATACTAATCTAATGACTACTTTCAGGTAGGCGAGAGAGGCCGGGTCGCGAGACTGCGTTCATTTAACCCATGTTTACCTAAGCGTGCAGTGACTAAAACCTATCGGCTCGCTGAGCGGAACATTAATGACAATCTCTCATCCGAATTTAATAAATGTTTTTGTTTCTTTTTTGTTCTTTTTTTTTACTTTTCCTCTCGCAACGCTTTCATCACAGCACTCGGTGGACACTCACAGTAGTTATGTATGTGTATGTACTTATATGTATCGTATCTATGTATATAACACGTATATTGTGCTTGTATCTGTTAACCTCGCGGGAATGTTGAATGTGCGTTCGTGTGCGCTTGAGATGTCTATAAGAGTCGGGGGTTTCAGGTGGCGTCGTCCCGGAGGAGAATTCGTTCACGCGAATCGGCGGCTTGTCGTGGGAGCACTGGTCGGCGCGGCTCGCCCTGCCGTTAGTGGCCGGCATGCGCGTGGGGGCGCCGGCGCTGCCGCCCTCGCCCGGCGACTCGAGCTTCACGTGCCCCGACTGCGGACGCGTCTATAAGCTCAAGTCGTCCCTGCGTAACCATCAGAAGTGGGAGTGCGGCAAGGAGCCTCAGTTCCAGTGCCCCTACTGCGTGTATCGGGCGAAACAGAAGATGCACATCGCCCGCCACATGGAGCGCATGCACCGCGAAGTCACCATGAAGCCGGAGCAGTACATCAAGCAGGACAACGTGGACGCCTGCACTTAATACTCGCGCCGATGCTCTTCACTTCACTCACTCAAAACGAATTTCACTTCGAATGCCGCAGACTCCGACTTCGCCGATTGTGATAGATGTGATGTAATCTCTTTTGTGATAGTGGCATTCGGTCACGTTAGATGTAATTCCCGATCGCTCCCCGCGTGGGCCGCAGGAATTCTCTTAATACTCACTGCTTTTAGTCAGAAGTCAGGCCCGCCTCGCAACCCCTTTCAAATGTCCGGAGTTCTTTTTCGAAGAATGGTGTCGAATCCGAAGCCCACGCGGCCTGTCCACGTTACCGACGCAGGTCGCGCCTCGAACGACCGCAACGGTGTCGCTGCTTTAATCCAGTACATTAAGAAAGTGATCGTATAGTTACGCTTCGTATACCTTATATATCAAATGTACAGCTCTTATTGTGTAATATTAGCATTCCTCTTTTGATAGTGTACGCGTTAACCGAGAGAAAGAGTCGTTACCATTTGAAGTTACTAAAACTAAATTTTAGTTTCATCGGGAAACACCCGCGCTGTATTGCCGATTTAGAATTACGTCGATGCTATTTCGCTTTTAAGCAGTCTAGGTCTTTGCCATAATGCGTTCCATTATTATTCTAATACTCATAAGTTAAATTTGATTCGATTATTATTTTTAGATCTCTTTACGTGTATTGCATTTATTTTATGTACTACGATCGTCGGTCGTATTAATCGTAAGTTCCTGGCGACGAATGTCATCGATTTGTTATACCCGTTGGGGCCAATTGTTAGATTAGGATTAGACCGAAACGAGTGCCTTACTTTAGGGTCAATGTGCCGAGCGCGAGTCGCGTTCTTCCGACGTCGAAAGTAATCTTCCACGTAGTCGATAAGTATTTTATATATTACCACTTAGGGTTTGTAAGTTCACGGCGTCCACCTCGCTCTAGTCGTTGCGAGAACGACCGGAGCCGACGGCGCCGTCTGATAACCGTTCGGAGTTACCATCGTACAATCAATGTGTAGAGCTCACTAAGTACAAGTCATTTACAGTTACATAAGTGCCTTCTAAAATTAGTCATTAGGGAGTTAAACGTTTTAAGTCAACGAATCACTCGTGTTTTGCCTCGGTTGTGATTTTAGTCTCGCACGAGGCTCGGTCGTTTCGACCGCGAGCAGATCGCACTCGGAGCCGACCGCGGTCGGAGTCGTGTCGCTCGCCAGACAACAATATTTACAGTGATTTTCATGCATTTGATTGTATTTTTATAACATTTTTGTATTTTAAATAAAGTTGCTATTCTTGATACACGCTCGTTTCAATTGGCGTCTTCGACTCACCTAGGTATGTCATTTTAATCTCGAGTATGGGAACTAACGTCGCATGTCCCGCGCGATACTTCGAAACGGACGCATGCCCATCCGTTTCGACCGTGTCCGCGTCTCACTAACCCGCCTTCTCCGGGCCGTAGGTTGCACGTTGAAAACACCTCGGTAGCAAATAATGGGAGACATGGTGCATTCCTTTACGCTTACGGTAGCTTCGCTTCGGTGGTAGCTTCGTCTGCACGTATTTATTTTTGTTTGCCTTTGGATTTCAGTTGCACACTTGTACACACCTTATATATTGGGTTACGGCGCGAGTCTAGGCGGCGCGGGCGGGAAGGGCGGCTGGACGCTGTACGAGTGCGTCGATTGCGGGAACAAATACAAACACAAGGGCTCGCTGCAGCGGCATATTAAGTACGAGTGTAGGAAACAGCCCAGTTTCAAGTGCCCCTATTGCGTCTACCGCGCCTACCAGAAGCACAATCTGCTGCTACACGAGCGCCATCTGCACAAAGACTTACCCGAGAAAGTGGATTTCGTCTCGGAATGACCCGCGCTCGGGCGACGACTCAAGTCAGTATTTCGAATAACCCGGAAGTTTGTTACTAACCCGGTGCGACGTCGAAAGGTGGAATGCACGATTCTGTTCAAGCTTGTTTTGTTTCGTACGTGCCTCGACGAGCGCCACCAAATGTTTACCGCTTGATATTTCTGTTACAGTTTGAAGCACGGGCTCATCACTGATCCGATAACTTAACAAGATTGGAAGATTTCTGAGGAAAAGGTGCTAATTGCCGCGCTTCCCACATACTCACTTGCATATGTTCGAAACTACAACTAAACGGTGCATATGGCAATGCTTGCTTTTATGTACCTACAAAGTCATTTATGCTAAAACCTTGTTAGTCTTCGACAGACAAAAGATAGATATTTAATAATAATGAGTAGAGATTGCCGTAACCAATGTAAAAGGTGATAGTTACGTGCTGCTAAGGATATTTTAATCCTCGCGTCTCAACTGTAATTCTATTGAATCAGTTACAAACCTCCAGTGCAATAATAATAATGTGATTCAAACGATATGTGACACAACTGCTTTATAATTTAATAACATTATTTTTATAATTCTTGCCATATTGATTTTTGACAGGCATTATTTGGAGGTTGTATGGAGAACACTTGATTTCGGAAGATGTTCGTAGTTTTGTCTCTCCGAAACTGACCTGAAACGGCAGCTTTATCGCATAATAATATCGTTACCAATTTACCTTTTAGTAGTCAATAGTGCCAAATACTAATGTTTTTGATTAATTTATCCTAAGACTATTTTATAAGACATGTTTTGAATAATTTTATACGTATATTAGATTGTTAAATTCTTGTTCTCGTTGTTAATGTTTATTTAGCGTGTGTTCCTCGTTACCAAAGAAATGTATAATTTAACTTTGACACAATGTTTGTAGAAGTATTTTGTATTATAAGAGCAGTATTCCTACAACTGTATATACACGTATATTTGCATTTGTTACTGTTAGTATTGTTACCGTCGAAGTTCAGAAGCGCAATAATTGTAACCGAAGAATCCGACCGATTCTAGCATTAAGTAACCGAGTGCCTTAATAATTTAAGTAGGTGGCTTCGTAAATTATTGTATTTATAAGTTAGAGAATGTTTTACAAGAGATCCGTCGCTCGTGATGCATTTTCAAATGATGTACCTACCTACTCTACTAAGGTATGAAAGAAAATATGCCTACCTGCGATTCACTCAAAATTCCTAAGCTCGGTGTGGTGTGTGGAATTGTACTCATATAGATAGTGATAATAATAATTAGAGAATAAACTATTGTGTAGGAACTAAATATTTATTTTGATAAAATTTACAGCTATCTATTCAAATAATACCAAAAACAACGTTGCCTTTCAAAGGACTGTAAATTGTAGCCTTATTAAAAGAAATACACAATAATTAAGCTATAAAAGTTACCTCTAAATTTTTCTATATAATGTGGTCGTTACTAATATTAAACGTATTATTCATACCTGATCAATAAACTTAACCCGCCCACATTTAGACCCACCAACAATCGGAGTAATATAAGCTTTGTTTTCATACATTTTAATTTATAAAAGTTAAGGATAAAGTTATAGGATCAAACGACCAAAGTATGAGCAAGAAAAACAAAAAATATTGTTTTGCATGTATTTATTATTAATATATTGTTATTCAAGAAAACTATTTAAAGAGTATTTTGTTGAATTATAAATCAACGTTGGTTGTACTTGTTAAATCTTCATTATTAATACCCCACATTAAATTTAAGAGGGTATACTGCGCACAAATTCCTGTTAAATTTTGTATTCATATTTTCTACAACGGTGTGGTTTGTTTTTCTTTCGATTGTGTATGTGAATAAATGTTCTTGATTTAACAAATTATCATTTGATTGTAGAGAATTACCCACAGTAATATTCCGTTAATGTAGGTATGTAAAAGTTTAGGATCATTGTGAAGGTGAATAATGTTAATAACGCATTAGAAACATGTTTATTTGTTACAGGTGATGCTGAATTTTTCAAATCGATGATTCACAGCATCGCGCCTCTGAAATTTCCAGGATGCGATACGATATATCAATGCGAAAAATGTAACAGGAAGTACAGACACAAGAGTACGTACAGAAGACATGTCACCTACGAGTGCGGGAAGGAGCCCATGTTTCGATGCCCCTTCCTAGACTGCACCTATAAGGCCTACCAGAAAACACACACAGACGCCCATATCAAAACAAAACATAAATTGCTGATGGTAGAATACAAAGGATGATTGTAAATCGTGTTTTGCTGTTAAATATTGTGATATTAAAATAAATATATTTGTTACGTTATACGCAATTCGATTTTAATTCAAGAGTTCGAGCTAAGATTATGCGTACGTTTAATTAATGTAGTCTGTGTTAACGAAATATTCTGAGCGCCATATTGACATCGGTCACTGTCATTTAAGACAGTAACATTTGACATTGAAATTAAAAACAAACCAAAATTGTGCAATGGACTGCGAGAATAATTTATATTAAATCTCAAAATATTGAATATTACGTATTGTAATGTAACATGAAATAATTATCCCTAAGAACTTGGTACAATGAATCGTCTTTTACGTGTAAACACATTTTATTGTAACGCGATCAAGAACAATTTCAATAAAACGGGATCAGTATTACTTCAACCAAAAAATGTTTCACCCGAATTATTTATTATTCGAAAAGTTCACGAACAGAAGAAGATACGTTCAACTCTCAATTATATGATAGCTCTAGGCGTAATGACTGTAGGTTTAAGTTATGCAGCTGTTCCCTTGTATAGGATTTTTTGTCAAGTAAGTAACCTTATATTTTCCTTATCTTTACAAAGTGATAAAATTGTATCGAAATCCAATTGGACATATCTGACTTGAAATATGTATGTGGCCTGAAATTTATTTTTTGTTTTTATAAATAATTACAGGCATACAGTTATGGCGGTGCAACATCACAAGCAGATGCAAACGATGAAGTTAGCAAAATGAAGGCCATAAAGGATAGACCCATTAAAGTGAGGTTTAACGCTGATGTGGCTTCATCTATGCAGTGGAATTTTAAACCACAACAAACCGACATTACTGTAAGTTGACTAAAACTAATTATGCTGACGTTAATATATTTCCAGTTTTAATGAAATCTTCAAAATACAACCTCCCTGTAACTAATTTAGAGCTCGTCCAACGAGAAATAGAAATGTTAGATATTTTCTTAACAAAGTTAAAAAAGTTCTCGACAAAGAAGAAAGTTTTCTCCTTAAGTTTCACTATCATTTTTAAACCATTCAGTTTTACACACAGCATGTGGAAAGCTTATCATTTCTTTTTTTGTAGGTTGTACCTGGAGAAACAGCATTAGCATTTTACACAGCTAAAAACCCTACAGACAAGCAAGTTATAGGAATTAGCACATATAATGTGGTGCCATTTGAGGCGGGGCAGTATTTCAACAAGATTCAGTGTTTCTGTTTTGAAGAACAGATGCTCAATCCCCATGAAATGGTAATTCTTGTTGAATCAAACACAAAATCTTATTTTAGGATAGACTAGGTATTTGGTGTACACTTAAAAATGCTACTAGATTCATTTATTCTTTTCACTTCAGGTAAATATGCCAGTATTCTTCTACATAGATCCAGAATTCAGTGAAGATCCAAAAATGGAGTATATTGATGAAATTGTATTATCATACACTTTCTTTGAGGCTAAAGAGGGATTCCAACTTCCAGTTCCCTCTTATGCCAAATAATTTTATTTTTACTATAGCTATAATAGATACATTTGCTTTGTTAAGATTGTTTATAAAACAGAATTTCTTTTTATTTAATACTATCAAGTTGAAGATAATGGTAATGACAGTTAAAACCATTTGATAAAGAGAAAAATGATTTATTGTATGTTTGACATGACATTTGACATATTTGTTCTCCAAAGCATAACTAGGCTTTAATAGCAGCTGTCACTGGATATCCCCGTCTTAAACCCATGCATTGATCCCGGTCTATAAAGAGGGTGGTAGATTTATTGCGGAGATCAGCTTCCAGGCCGGCACGAACTCCTAGAAGGGTCTGGTGGGTGCCTTCCGCCGTAGCGATCTTGGATCTTAGTGTCTCCATGGTCTCTTGCAGATCACAACATTCTTTTACTAATCTGTAAGATAAGATGACAGCTTAATGCTCTGTTCGTCTAACTGATGTACCAAATGTTTATTATTAGGGATACAAGAATGCATCTATGCACCTATTTTGCGCCTCGTCCCGACATTTTTCCAGGTGCGGACGGTTGGTGCGAGCCTGCAGCCTCGTGTGCGCTACTCTCAGCGGCTGCAGCTTATCTTCGATAGCCTTGTTGAGCAGCTCCAGAGTCTTTTCCACGTCGAACATCTCTTGTTGTACCTAGCAACATTTCAAATGCATCTCAATTCAAACAGCTGCATAAATGGATAAATGCAAATCAACATGCGAAGCTTTTTTGAGTCAGCCTAATTATACTCGTTTTACGTTTCAGCAATTAGCTAACAAGTTAGCGTAATGTTTCAGAAGGCCACATAAATTTATTTTATATTTGATTATATAACACCCTTGCTAGACTTATGTTAACTGAAGTATACCTTGTGCAAATGCAGTTGCAGCTTGTTCTTGATCTCTATAGTCTCCGCGATGCGACGCGTAAAGGCGCTGTTAGTGTTGCTCCATTGGTCCCAAATCTCCGTGGCAGATACGTTCACCAAGTTTTCGGCATCTTCGTGCAATTATTATTTTAAATTATTTAAATTTGGCAAGTGCCGAATCGATGGTTTCTTCGAGAATGCTCACCGGATAGCATTTGCACGGCTTTGGCCCTTTCCGATTGAGAGCGTTGGAGCGTGGCGGCGCTGGCTGCAGCCCAGCGCTCTGTGTCGCACACCGTTGGATCGTATCGCTCGATACCCGCGTAGAATTGCAGACCCTTCACACATATATCATTACCAATATACCGAGTCCAGACATAGAAAAACGAGGAAATCCTTGAAATTTAATTACAATTCTATATCATATTTGTAATACTAAAGATGTATCCATTCGCTAAGTTTATCTTTCTCCCTATAATAAGATGATTCTAGTCAAACCTTAGAAAAGTTATTGAGCTGATGGCACATGTTGTCGATACCGAGTGCATATTCCTTGTTGCGCATGTCTGTCTCTAATTCATGCTGCGTGGCGCGACAGTTCTTCGACTGCTGCCGGACCTTTGGACAATTGATGAGGGAACTGATATAAGGTTCAAATTATCTGCCTACGCCGATGGAAGAAAATACCTTGTCAATATTGACAATACGTTTTATCGGCTACATCTTAGGTCGTTACCTTTTCCAACATATTTCGGAATTTATCTTGACACTCCTTAAGCATGGCTACCTCCTTCAGCAATGATTGCTCCACGGCATCGTGTACTTGCTCCAGACCTGATGGCAAAAGCGACGAGCTATTGATATGTTATAAGCAACAAATTAAGTTTCAATCGGATTTTTAATCTTTACTTCGGCGGATCCAGGTAGAAATATTGCCTCCCTAGTGCGATCCTCGCTAACGCAGTTCCTGAACTTAAAATCCCAAATAATACGTATGTAGAAATTACCCTGTCTCTTCTCGCGGTGGTAAAGACATTCTTGGACGATGTGCAAGGGCCCTTCGATCCCAGCTATTGCTCGTTCTAGTTGACGTCGCGTGTCATTTAGTTTCTCACACGTTGCCACGAGACGTTCCATTTCAATGGATACCTAGTGTGAGGACATATATGTTTCTTTTTATTATTCGTGAGTCCAGAGTCAAAGTATCAATGTCATTTAACTGGATCTTTTTATAACGAATAGGCCTGCCTATATAAGTAATAAAGTAAGACTTTAATGCCTTCCCGTGTGCCCACCTCGTTCCTCCAAAATGTCGTGTCGGTGATTCGCTCGCCGATTCTTCTTCCAGAATCACGCTGGCCCTGCGTCCCGATCTCATCTGTTTCCCTAATTTTGAAATTAAATTTACGGAATATAAAATTGCTCTATATTTCAAATTAGTCTCTGAAATGTTTTAATTAACAAACTTTCTGCAAATATTTTATCAGATTTTATTTCACATTGATATGTCAAAATTATAAGTTATTATATTATACTACCGTTTATAAAAGCTTTGAACAGCTTACAATTCAAATGACCTCAATAGTCAATACCCTACGTAGATATATTGTACCTCAACATCCTCATGATATCATTTCTAACTCGCTCTGAAAAGTTCCTCTTCGCATCAGACTCGTTGTAGTTTTTGATACTGTTTTGATTCCATTCGTACTGAGTGTATCGCGTGTATAAAGCTGCCCTCGCTGCATGCTCAGGGCTGCGGTCGAAGCCTGTCACCAGGTTGGGAAAGCGGAGAGGTTCAGCCGCCATGCCCGCCGGTGTGTAGCATGGATCTACCATCGTGTTTGTTATTGGCTGGGATGGCCTAAAAAAAATAACATTCATTATTCAATGTAGTCATAGGTCTGGAAAATTCGTTTCTTCAGTATTATCAAGGATTAAATTTATTAGGTACATAGGAGTAACTTCGATTTCTTCGTAGCCCATAATAGGTCTCCAAGGGTGTTTCTTGGGAGAGTGGAAGCAATAACCCACTTGCGGGGGAACGCTTGGAGCGCCCGCAGTTTCCTTTACGGGAGTCCATTGCTGCAATTGCTGTGAAAGAGAAACATATTGAGTATTCTCTGTAGAAGAAAGAAGTATTATTGCCACTTTTAAGAATTTAAAACACGAATTATTTCTTTAACTATAGAAAATAAAAATTTAAATAAATTTCACATAATATTTACAGAGCACATCGTTACTTCCTTTGCCATTTTGTTTATGTGATAATACTATAAATGCAAATAATTTCAAAAATTAATTAAGAAATAAAAAATTTACATACATAAACTTAACATAACAAAATTCAAATTTGAATTCTGCGTCATATTTTTTAAAGCTTAGTTGGGGTTACCATAACCAATAAAGTAATGAGGTTCGATAATTTATTTCCATAAAATATTTTGCTACTATGTATATTTAATAGGATTATGTTTACATTTCAATAAAACACTTTAACGGTTTAAATCTCGATATATATTAGTTAAACTTTATTTTATTTTGCAGCAACCGTGGTTTAGTTAAAATAATTTTTAAACAAGTTATACTAATATATATCGTGTTTTATTTAAATGTTTATTACTCGTGTAAACTATAAACAGTATAGGATTATGTATACAGATTGCACATGCAATAAGTAAATATATTTTGATTATGCAAATAGTTATCATTTTATCTGTATCAGTAACTGTCAATGTCATTGCTTTTGCTATATTGTGTTGAAGTTCTGTGGCTAAACGTACTCTAGGTCTAGTTGTAATTAGTATTTTAATGTCGTTCTTTGAAGTTCGAACATCAAGTCATTTTTAATTTACAATAATTAACAGTGTGATTTAAATAAAACAATAGAACACTCAGTTATTTACATTAGATAAGTTATGGTGTCCGTATTAATCTCATATTTAAATCATGAGTAACGTACCAGAAAATGCACCACATCGTATGTATTTACAATAATTTTTATTACACTATGTATAGAAATGTGTTGGAAATGAATAGCGTTACTTTATTTTAGACTGTCCCGGGACACAAAGCGAGGATGCAGGTAAAGCATCAGCATGTGCAGGCTGTCCTAATCAAAACATTTGTGCCTCAGGTGAGTAGATATTTTTTAAGGAACCATGAATCTAATCACTGGAATGTAATATTATTTTAACATTGAGAAATACTTGTTTTAAATTACAAAGTCGCATTCCAATAACAAACGTGGTTCAAGGTTATCAAAAGAAACTTGTTTTAGTAATGAATTGCATCCCACATTAGCAGTTATTTATCTTATTCAACTCTCGAGGGTGTGTCAGTTGTTAGATCATTGCCCTTGGTATCAGACTATTTTTATTTAATTCAACACAATGAATACTACTTAAGCTCATCTTCATTTAATAATATAAGTAAAATGTTAAAACAGCTGTTTTAATAATACTATAACGTTAGTAGTGGGACATTTTACTTGTTGAAGTTGTTCAAAGCTTTTTTTACACTTGTTAAGTGTTTTAATTTCTAAAGTAAGCTTGCTAACTATTATGACCTTTAAATATCACCAATACCAAATGAACTAGATTTTTTATTACGATAAAAGTGAACAGACAATCACGGTGTTCACTTGATGGTAGGTGAAATACCCCGGCCATATAACATCATCATCTAAGCAAGTACGCTGTTGACCTATCTTGGTTTATCACCAATTCAATCTGTCAACAATCTACATATATGTTTTATTGTTTTAGGTATCCCAGCAGGCCCTGACCCTGCTATAGAGATCATCAAGAACAGATTGTCAAATGTTAAACATAAAATATTGATTCTCTCTGGAAAAGGTGGGGTTGGGAAAAGCACCTTGACATCTCTGCTTGGACATGGCTTATCAGCTAAAAATGCAGATATTAATGTAAGTATCATTAAATATTTTTGTATTGATAACCTTGTAAAAGAAAAACTTATTTACTTTGACAGTATACTATATCAAACAGGGAGTCACAGTACCATGTCAAACATCAAATTTTTACCAACAACAGCTCTAATTCTTTTTATTCTTATTTAGTAAGAAATAGGTATTTTAAAATTAATTGGTATATAAAAGATTATTTATTTATTATTGTTTATTTACTCATAATAGTTTTCAAGCATTTATATTTAAAAAAATGAGGTTGTTTCAAGTTCAGATAAGTTCCATTATTATCTAATCATTGTTTTCATAAGTAATGGAGTGTGAATGTTAAAAGTAATAACGTTGCTTTCATGTACATATCTGTGGTAAGGCATTTTAGTCTTCAATATGAAAAATTACTCTTTTATAATGTCTAAATGGAGCAAAGGGTAGCAGGTGTATTCCACTCCTACTAATATTAATGAAAACAAAGGTTTGTGTTTAGTCCTTTAACCAAATTTCTATACTTTATTTGCATTCTTAATAAAAACTTAAATTCGTTGCGGGTAGCAGAGCCATTACCAGCCACAATAAACATAGACTACTTCTAGAACATACCCGATTGTACCTCGACCTTCTCTCGTGAGAACTCCCGAATTCCATCAGAGCCAGTTCCCGAGGCGCGTGTATCGATCCCGAAGGTTTAACTGCGAAGATTTCGCTAGCGCGTTGCGCCTCGTACCAAGCGCTCGTTGGTACAACCTTGGGTGCTTATATAGGTCATACTTATGGAAATTAAGCTCTATTATGCTTCTTCTTACCGCCACTTACTCAAAAATTCGTAAACGAAGTTTTTAGGATTTTTCATATTAATTATTTTTATTTTTCACATTATTACATTAGAGACTATTAGGCTATATGTAAAGCCTAATAGTCTCAAATATTGGGGTAAGGAGTCAAGCCAATATACAGTTACATCTTTTTTAAATAAAACACTTTAACGGTTTAAAACGCGATATATTAGTTAAACTTATTTAAAAATGATTTTTTAAATTCGGCCCGACGTTTCGGATGCTTTGCAGCAGCCGTGCACGGGGAAACTATTATATATCGCGTTTTAAACCGTTAAAATGTTTTATTTAAATGTGTACTCCTCGCGTAAACTATAGACAGTATTTAGTCACATCATTATTAAATGCTCTCTGATTGGAACATAGCAAGAGGTGGTAAATAGGGTAGTTAAGAAAAAAATAAACTAAATGTTTTTATGGTAGAGGAGAACAGACTAGCATCGGGTTAATTTAGTGATTACTCCAACCACATCACATCTGAACAAAATAGTTTGGTAATGTTATTTGGCTTTGGGCATTCTAAACTCCACAGAATGAAAGTTTTATAATAATAATAATAATAATTTATTTGTCAGACCATCCATACATTATTTTAAAATAATAAATAATTAATTAATTAATTATTTATTATTTTATGTGAATTACACTTTACAGTTTCATTTGTGTGGCAGTGATTTAGAACACAGCTGGTTCCTACCACACAGGTTTTGGCCAGATTTATCAGTTGAAGTATAATGTTTAAAAAAAATAAACTATTTTTTTCCTTCCAGGTTGGAATTTTGGACGCGGATATCTGTGGTCCTAGTCAGCCCCGTGTCCTTGGAGTAAGGGGCGAGCAGGTTCACAATTCAGGCTCTGGATGGTCACCTGTTGTGAGTATTATAATTGTCTGTACAGTATGGGCCCCAGCCCATAATTAAAAGGGCAGTTAATGCTTGTTACTAGTAAAAATACTTTTCTTCACAATTTTTGTTATAACAGTGATAATTCTTAAAATAATATTATTTTAAAATTGCAGTATGTGAAAGATAATCTGTCACTGATGTCCATTGGATTTCTGCTTGGAAGCCCTGATGATGCTGTCATTTGGAGAGGGCCTAAAAAGAATGGTTTGTTTTTACCTGATAACATTAATTGTTTATATATGGATAAAGTGAGCAAGTAAGAAAAATAAATATTATATATCAGTATAATACGTATGACTTTAATTTATTTTAGGTATGATAAAGCAGTTCTTGAGTGAAGTAGATTGGGGAGATCTTGATTATTTACTCATTGATACACCTCCAGGTAAGCATCTTTTTTTCTTTTCCAATAAAACTCACCCTCACCTACTCAAAGCCATAATGTGAATAAAAAGCCAGGTAGATAAAGGAAAATTTGTTTAAAAAGTGAAACACGTACACATACAACACACAGGTACATTTCAACATTAAGTTTTCATATACACACTAATAAATGTAATTATATGGAACAGGAACATCAGATGAGCACCTGTCCTCCGTACAATACCTGTCGGAAGCTGGGCTAACTGGCGCCGTCATAGTGACCACCCCGCAAGAGGTCGCCCTCCTGGACGTGCGAAAGGAAATCCAATTCTGCAAAAAGGTGGCTGTTCCGATACTCGGTGTCATCGAAAATATGTCGCTTTTCGTCTGTCCAAACTGTCATGTGAGTATATAATACTTATTATTATTATTTATTTCTCAGACCACAAATCCATACATTTCTTAAAATTAATTATGTAATTCTAATGTGTGTTAGTTGGGTTAGTAACAATAAATATATAAACTAATTGTCCGAGTGCCTGTGAAAATTATAGAGATTTCTTATATGTATATTAAATAAAATAAAAAAGCATTGTTTTAAGTATTTAACGGCTGTTAATTTTTAAACTTCAACTCCTTAAAACTTCTATTTAACACTACTACTGTTTATTCATAATTTATTACGGAGTAAGCAAATGCATTCAAAATGAGTAATTTTATGTATTTCTATTATAACATTATTCACAGACGCGTAGTGAGATATTTCCGGCGACAACTGGCGGTGCGTCGCAGATGTGCAATGATCTGGGGGTATCGCTGCTAGGCAACTTGCCTTTAGATCCTCTTCTAGCACGATGCTGCGACTCCGGCGCAGATTTCACTACTGAATTGCCACAATCGCCCGCTGTACAACAGCTGCACCATATAGTTGACAGTAAGTAGTGTTTGAAATGCTAAAAAAATAGATATATATTTCTATTAAGTACAGGACTGAATCATGTTTCTAAAATAATATGTAATTCATAAATGGTACACTGTTAAAAGTCTTATTTTCACTTACAGGAATTATTACAGCGTGCGAAAAGTCCTCTGGCTAAAACTTAATAAACACTATGAAATAGTTTTATTGTCTAGTCATAAGAATGTAATGCAAAATAACTATTGTTATATTATTAAAACTGTCTATAGTTTACGCGACTAAAACCCTTTAAAGATTTAAAACACGATATATATAAGGCATATTTTTTTGAAAATTATTTTAACGACGGCCCCTCATTTCGAATGCTTTGCAGCTAAATAATGTATATCGCGTTTTAAACCATAAAGTTCTTTATTTTATTTTTGAAATATAATCTATTGTTCCAACTTTATATTTATATAATTTATTTTTCCGAGGTTATGCTAATGTGCTGTCTTCCTTATCTGTGCGAGTGTCTTCTAGCTGTCATTTGCTTGACAATTTACGTAACATAAGTGACACCGATTGTCAGTCCGTAAGGACTCGAGATTTTAGAAAATATTCAAATTATAATTGAAAAAAACTGTAATTACTTAATTTTTTAATATAAAAAAGTACTAACGATGTGTACAAGAGAAATAATTTCTTTGTAACTCAAGATAAACTCAAAATAAAAACTGCCGCAAGGGTATTGCATCATTAATCAACACATTGCACAAATGCACATAAAAATAAATCATGCCTTCTCATCACACCGAAGAAGAAGATAAACCCTGCAGGGCATGCAGCGATTTTAAATCCTGGTCTAAGAAGACTAAAGCGAAAATCCCAACAACCAGTAAACCTGAACCAGTAAGTCAATTTAAAATCCTCCAGAAACTTCTAAAAGAAGTCGCACCTTATCTTAGTCTTTTATCTATAACCTTAATGTTACAGCCAGCAGTACAAAATAAAGAATGCCCATTAGATAAAGAGGAGTTAGGTAATGCGACGTGGGGTTTCCTTCATACTCTGGCCTCATATTATCCTGAAAAACCTTCAAAGATAGAGGCAGACAATATGGTGAAGTTCTTTAACATTTTCTCGCAGTTTTATCCTTGTGAGCCTTGTGCTCAGGACTTTCAAGAAGAGTGAGTAAATTTGTGTTCTCAGCATTCAATTCTTAATAATAGATGTAATATGAACCATTGTATTTAATATGTCTTGAATTTTCAAATTAATTGAGAAACATAGGTCCAGAGTCCTATCTCCATTAGTATTACTTCTAAATCTCCAAAGTACTGAATCATAGAAAGAATTCAATCATGTGGGCTCTTGTAACATTACGAAGATACAATAAACAACTTTTTTAAATGTTTGTACAGAATAGCTGTTCCTTATTATGTATTTTGTCAAAATTTTGGTGAACCCCTCGTTTGAGAAATAGATGATCAATCCTTTACCTTTTTACACAAATGTATCCTTCGATTTTCATATTTCTATAAATCTTACAGCATTCAAAAGAATCCCCCAAAGACAAAAACTAGAGAGGAGTTGGCTAAGTGGTTATGTGACAGGCACAATACTGTTAACGAGAAGCTCGGGAAACCACTTTTTGACTGTAGCAAAGTCCATGAGAGGTGGAGAGACGGCTGGCTCGATGGCTCTTGTGATTAATGAATGTTCCGCAGCCAAGATAGTGTTTTGATTCCATGTATAAATAGATAAAATATGACAGATAATTGTAATGTTTTTGCTACTGCTGGTTTTTATCACTTTATTTTTTGCGTGGGTTTTCTACAATTCATATACATAGTATCTAAAGAAATGCATGCTACTAATGATGTGACTAGGTTTACAGTATTTACATTTTTCTTTCTAGTTTTAAATACCTAGATTCAGTTACTATGTTCTTCTGGACATAGGGACAAAGAAAGGATTACCTCAAATATATCATTGGACTATTACTATTCTATACAAAATATTCATATATAAAGGAACAAAACTCAGTCTATGTAAAAAAATGTTCTTTTATATTTATATGAACTTTTGGCTGTGGGCACAGGTAGATTTTTGTAAAATATTGTACTGTAGGCAGGTACTCATTCCTTTGAAGTATTTTGCAGTATAGTATAAATTGTTATGTGATTTTCTAGTGTACAAACTGTATATAAAATATATTGACTGTTGCTAAAGATGCGTAAGATTGCGTTTTCATTATAAACACAATTTCAACAAGACAATGTTTTGTTATTGAATATCTTTTAAAGTAGTCATGTGTTTTGTTTGATGAAATTTAGAGGTAAAATCTTAATAAAACACGTTTTTGATACAAATGTTATCAAATATCACATTGTACTTATAGTAGCTCAGTAATTTTACAGCCAAATATTACAGCACTTACAACTTGCGGGAAAAATCACAAGAATTCCATTTCCCTTTCAATACCCACAAACTTCAACTGTTCTGTGGGCCCATATCTGAAAAATGAAAAATTTAATACAAAAAGTTACGGTGTTCTCTTGTATGAAACTCACGGTATGGTAAAAACGGAAAAAGAGAGGACACCGTGAGTAATATGCATTAATATACTAATGTTTAAAAGTACATATTAAAAAAAAACAACTTTCAAACTGATTTCCATTAATTTCAGTTTTCGGTAGCTATTAGTCACCTGTAATCGAAGAAGAGTTCCTCTCCGGGCTGAATGGCCCGCTTCGCAAATATCCCAATGCGGTGGTCGCCGTTCACCATCATTACCTTTGCGTAGCAGTTCGGGTTGATCGAATGATTTGCGAAACGAATCTTATTGCCTTTGCGCGTTGCGTCCACAACGAAATCTACAAAAAGGAATACATAAGCGTACAAAGCGAAATTAATTTAAATGATAATATAATATTCTTTACTTATTTATATTTATTTAAATATTAAGTACATTACGTATACATACATTTAACGACACGGACAGGACTCTAAATGGCATCCACAGCGTTCTGTGTTACTGCTAATCTCTATAATTAAACCTTAACGGTCGAAATTTAATTGCGCGAGAGGTGTATGTATAGATTAAAAAAATCTACGATGACGTGAAGGACACCGTAGCTCATTTGTTTAGAGCAACAGCACGAAACACTCGGTGCCGTTAAATCTAAATCAATCGAAATTTAAGTTGTTCGATACAAGATAGGCACTTAAATGTTGTTTACCTAGTTAATGGAATGGACAGATTTTTTTTATTTCCTGTAAAATTAAAAAATAGCAGGTATCTCATTATCTTAAAGATATTTTTGCATAACACATAATCATGGTCTGATCGACTCTATTTAACAATGTGCCCGAATTCCAGCAGCTGCAAACCATTTTTAAGGGGTAAGTTATTTACCATTGTTTAAATTGAAGAGGAAGGAGCACATGTACTTGTCGTACACCTTGCCTCGCCTATCCGCCTCATCCTGCGAAATGATCTCGCCACAATACTCCGATATGAATTCGTTCTTGTGAGCGGCCTCCTTCAGGAATATGCCCCAGCCGGCGACGTCGCTCGGAGCCAAGAGCAGATGCTTGTGAAGACCTCTGTAATACATTTTTGGTCAACTCATCCACGGATATATTGCTATCTCGGATAAATGGTGTTACCCCAATCATAGTAATGTTACCTTTGCACTGAGACGTTCTTGCAATAGATCGGATGGCGCGGCGAAGCGGCAGCGGAGGCGGACGTGGAAGCGGGAGCGGCGGGTGCGTCCGCACCGCACGCCGTGCACAGATCCGGATCGCATTCGCGAACGCCCAAGTAACAGGGACATTGCTTCGTGTTGCACTGGGCTTTACAACGGCAACCAGGGAAGCGGTTCTGACCTTAACAAAATTCAATAAGAGTTTTTACGTTTTACAAAGAATACAAAACTCTAATATAATTCTAAGAGTGACGCTAATTCATAATGGTTTTTCTCTGGACGTGTACAACAAACATTCGAAAATATTCTTTAGACCTAGAATTCTAAATTGTGTAAAGGCAAGCGCGGATTGCAGTGGTGTGTAGTGGGGTAGTCGCACAACAATGCAATCCGCGTTTGTTAGTGTGTATATAATCTGAGACCGAGGCGGACGACTCATAATTCTTCGAGCAATCGAGGAGTTAACATCTCCTGATGATGCCGTCCACACGTGATGGCGAAACGTCGAGAACCTCTTCTCGCTCACATCGGCCGAACAGCCCGAAAGACAATGATATTCTTTTGGCCTATTTCATATTACAAAGAATTAAGAGAGATCCTGAGAACTTTTTTGTTCCGCTAACCGCGACTTCGTCAACGCAACGATCTTTCTTGCAACGATATATCCCATGAGTACGAGTCTGGTTACTAGAGCATGTACTAACAATCGCTGCTGCACTGACAGAACTTCTCGCAGAAGTTCTGCGACTGGACGCAGGGGCAGAGGCTATCGCAGGGCTGGTTTGGGTGGTCGCAGGGCGCGTAGTTGTACACATGGTGCGAAGCCGTCTCCTTCTTGAGCTGCACCTTGCGGCAGTGCACCGACCAGAGGCGGTGCTTCTTCTTCTTCTTGCGGGGTGGGGTGCGCTCCGCCTCCACTCCACACGCCTCCGCGCCTGACTGCGTCCAGTGCCGGTACACCTGTAAATTATGTTAATAAACATAAGATATAACTAATATATAGTATTAAAAGAAAGCTCTCATCGAATGTGCCTGCTCTGACAAAAAGCAAACTTAAAATTCAACATTTACATGTTTCATTCATCTCTGTCTGAAATACAGGTACCCCAAACATTTATTTACTAAAGTTTGTGTGAAAAATATTAATCATGTAAAGATGTACTTCAGTCTCATTAAAAAGTCTGTTTTTATAATTTCAAAATGTAGCTGTAGACCCCGACCTGCTGGCAAGTTTTGGACAGCATGACCTGAGCGATCGCACAGTAGTTAGCAGCAAACACTTTATGTAGAGACCGGAACAGCGATTGATCTGAGCCTGTCCATTCGGAGTCGATGTCGCCCACGGTCAAACCTGCGGCCAAAAAGTGTCCAACACATTGAATAAATGCGTTATCGAAAGAATATTATTTATATAACATAAAAAGACATGAGCAAACGCTATGTTTTATACCTAGAGCGTTGTAAGTGGGTTCCGTTGCTTGCTCAGCTCCAAGTTTATTGGCCCAATTGCTGTTGCTGTTGCTCGAGTTGCTATTACCACCTACAAAGTAATCATATAAATAATTAAGCAATAATATTATTATTGTTCGATGTTACCGTCCCTTTGTGTTAATAAAGATTTTAACAAAATTATAAACATAGCATACATATAACAAGAAACATACCTATACCTATACTAATATATAAAGCTGAAGAGTTTGTTTGAAAGCGCTAATCTCAGGAACTACGGGTTCGAATTGGAAAATTCTTGTTACTGACTAATAGAAGCGAAGATACAGCGGGAAATGTGAACAAAACGGGGGAAATTTTTCATCTCTGTGGGTTTCAGATGCGTAAGCTGCGGACACGGTTCAATATACCTAAAGAATGTGTAAGAAAGAATGATTCCCCTTTAAATGATCTAGAAATCTATGTCTATCTTTTAAGATTAACTTGCAAGGGATTGGAAGGGATGCGATCGACGTCGTGGCTAATAGCTTAAGTTTATAAAGATGACGGAGTTTGCAAAAACTAATTTGGATGCCCAGAATAACGATTCTCGCGGACGAAGTCGCTGGGGCAGCTAGTATAAATATATTAAGAATCAGCTTTCAAGTTTACGGGCCCAGTGAAATGTAGTCATTTCAACATAATATTATAATTGGAGGACTAAGATATATAAGGTCGCAAGACCATAACTGTATGTTGGTGTTGTTTTAGAAATTTTAATTAATTTAACTAAATTAATTAAAAGAACAAAGAAAGAAAGAGGGAAACAAGTATCAACGTAGTAGTTAATATTTATCGAGAAATAATAGTTTACTACCCTCACTTGCATACTGTACGTGTACTTATGACACAATGAAACAAAAAACATGTCCGATTTCTCCTTAAATGCCAGAAACTTGTTTAGTGTTTGTTTAGTATTGACATTTTTATATGATATGATTATTTATATTTATATGACGGACTTTGACGGAGCTTGTTGTATACGACGCTAGCCAGCAGAATTAAAATATTGGTTTTAAATCTCTTCCTAAATTCGAATAACACACCTTTGAGGAATCTGTTGGAATCATTGCTGTCCTCCGAGGAGGCGTCGTTGGGCGAGTCCAGGGCTTTGCTCTTGTCCTCCATTTCCACTTCACCCGCTTCGCCGAGTGCCTTTTCGCGGGCCAGCTTTTCGCGCATGCCGTCCTGGTGTCATGACAATAACACGAATTAGAAATATGGTTTGTAAACTTAATAGGACTCTGGGATCTTAAGTGGTGATAAAAAGTTTTGGTTGGGTAGAGCACAAAATGGTTCCTACAATGAGTTCAGGTAAATAAATTTACACTAACAACATGAAGCTTTTGTCTTCGCTTTGAGGTTCATAAGTTTCCCTACATCAATGAACAAACTTAGACTTCGAATTATGCTACATGTTATAGCAAACGGCAATAGTTATTTAGGAATTTATCTGGGATCATTTTCAATGCTACGTAGTGCAACCTCCTAAGATATGAAAGGGCATAGGCTGTGTTGCCTGCTTGTAGAACGCTTTTATAAAGAGAAAGAAAATCACAAAAACTCACCAGAAGCATGTAACAATTGGGCCCGCACGGCTCCGAAAACGGTTTCAAATCTGGTCCCCGACGCCTCGACAGGTTCGGTCGAGGGTGGCAGGCTTGGAGACCTACATTGTTAGAATGTAGCGTCAAAAACAGTTTTATTGACGACCTACAAGTCTGCTAAGGGAAACAAAAACGCTAATACCATATGGATGTGACTTTGAATTGTAAGAACGTGGCGTGCGTATGTAAAATTTATATATTTACATGACTACGACGGAGACAAAGGGGGAGGAGGAGGATGGATAAATAAGAATGAATTGTTTTGCATAGCATTCATGGTCCATATTAAATCCCTTTCTTATTTCCTTCCCTTTTTACGCAGTCGGGTAAAACTACTATAGATTATAAAAAATTACATCTAAAGGAGAATGAGAATTTTATATATATATAAATAAAATGTGTACTATTAAATAGATGAAAACGAAGAATATGCATGGCGGTGAGAGCGAACTGAAAGATATAGAGGCAAACAGATAGGTATGTTGCGGCCTTACCTGTGGCCTGACTTCCTGTCAGCCAAACAGAACAACAGATAGTGTAAGGCCAACATATAGTACTTAATATTACACATAATATACTACATATATTCCCTTCTATATTACATGCGTTAATAAGCCTAAACAAACCCAAAACAAGAGTGGCCAGAATGGGAAACGTACTCTTACCAATTGAGCTCACGTTTCCCATATTTATATCAATTACATAATTTTTTTAAACTGAGACTACCTCCGTAGTCAAATCTTCTTTCAAAATATCCTAGAATAGTGTTAAATACAAGGGATTCTGGGTTCAAACCACGGGGAAACGACAAATTGTTTCGTTTCGGCAGAGCTGACTTCTAGTCTGATTAACTACTTATAATTTCCTATCAATAATTGATCAGTGAAATGCACACTGAAATGTGTTGTCCCCATGCCTCACTTCACAAAATTGGGGCAAGTAAAGTCCACACTTCTGGCAGGCCTAACTATTAATGGCCCTGGTTTTCTAACCCTATTAACTCATTTAGGCGATTTAAGTACAGTACTACCGGCTAGATTATAATTTTACAACATAATTCCTATATTTCTCAGTATACTTTGCACTATCAATTTTCAATATTTACTTCTTCATCCTTGAGAAATCGGAAAAAGGAATATTAAAACATAATAATGGTTTTATAGTCTGACCTTAATTCATTCTTAATTGATTTGAGGAAATAAACTTTGTAAAAATAAATCTATCATCATCTACTTACGGTGCAAGAAGCAGTCGTATTTGAAACATCGACGACAGAAGAGCGTGTGGAAGGAGTGCATCGTTTGATCACGAGCCACACACTCTGCTAGAGGTCCGTCTATGTTGGGTGTGCACTCTGGCGGTAGTGCGTTGGGGTCACTGCGAGACGTTAGCTCTATGTATCTGAAATTATTTTGACATAACATAAGAATAATAAATTGATACTTAAGAATTAGTGACAATTTTATCACATCACAATTCTTAAATCGAAAATGTAGTGATCAAACTCACTTCTCTCTAAGTTCTTGAGCTGTTCCCTTGTCAGGAAACTGTGAGCTGATGGCCTGAAATATTATAAAGATGGGGAACTGCTTCTCATTTATGATTTTCTTCTCGCCATCCTTGTCTTTGTTTTCTTCTTTGTCTTTTGAATCCTTTGTTTCTTTCTAAAATGTCAAAACATGTTTTTTTTTATCTTTATTACAAGAACTTATACAAATCTTTCCAAACTAAATTCATAGTTACACACAGTACACATTTAGATAAAATACTTTGAACTGCTTAAACATCAGGCCCTAATTAAAATAAATTAATTAAGATATTTTGCATTTTTAACCGTTAAAAGTATTTTAAGGAATTCATATCTAAAATATGTAAGGATTTCATAGATCTCTATGTCACAATGACTCTTTTGTTATTGGATCAATCAAAAGGTACCGGTTACTGTTACCATGGTGTACGAAAAAAAAGTCATAATTACATTAGTCTTACATCTTTATCTTCTTTGGAATTACGAGATTCTCGACGCTGCCTCTCTTCTGCCACCTCCTCCTTGGTCTGGAAGCTCATAAGAGCGTGAACCAAATCTACAAACAGTTGGTCATCTATGAAGCCACCTTCTTTATCACCTGTAAAATACAAACAGGAAATAATATATTGTGACTAAGTACTATATTTGAATAAGACCTATTACACTCCCTATTTAGTGAATACTACAAAATAAGTAGGTAATTATATGGGAACACTGGAAACACAAATCACTTCACTATTTTTACTCAAATAGAGTGTTGAACTGTATGCAATGTGTGTCATGCACAACTTTTAAAGTTCGCAGTCACACTAGGTCTATCTAGCAATATTACCAACTTTACAGCCTGTGTGTCAAATTACTGCAAATTACAAATATGTACCATGAACTTTTCCATCATAGTTTTTGATCAGCTCTTCAATAAAGGTACCATCTTGATCTAGTACCTCATCTCCCATGTATGGAATATTATGCAGTACGGTCTCATCTTCTACCATGAAATTCTTCTGGGTTGGAGCCCAGGTGTACATAGTGGGAATGGGATTTACAGAGTTTATTATGTGAATGGGTACTTGTTGTGTTGTCACTACTCCAGATACTGGAAACATATAAATCCATAGAATTAACAATTTGACATTTGGTTTGGTGCCTAAAATATTAAATAAATAAAATATATTTTCTTCTTCTTTTATGATCACTAATGATCCACAACATTAAAGAGACATTATTTAATACTCTTTAATATGAGTCATACAGTATAGGATAGATTAAATATTTAATCATTAGACTTTACACATTTTAAAAAACAAATTTATATAGATAGAAAAGAATTATTATGGTTTGCTCTCAGTTTTTATCCCAATCATGCATCATAAATAATTGTAAATTGCATAATTTCAATTCTTAATAATTATAAGATCGATTTTCCATTGAGTTATTATTTTATCATGATCGTGATAATAATACAATTTACGTGCAAAACTTATAAGATGCTATCCTAATGTAATACCATCAGTATATGTAACTTCAGCTTTCTTCATGATGCTCTCGTGGTTAAGGCTGATCCTTGGCTCAGGCCAGAAAGGGCGCCTGTCACGATTATTGCTTTCGTTTTCGCGATTTTCAACCGCATCCGACATTATACGCAAATTGCGCGCCCAAGCCACCTTTACCTCGTCCGCCCTTTTGAAGCGCTGTAAGCGAAGTCAAGTCAGTTGTATAAAAATTAGTGAAAACTATAGGAGAACAATTAGCAAAAACTATTACCTTTAATTGCCGGAGACGCATGTATTCGGATTTCACCCTCTTCTTCCATTCTGCCGATACTTTGGATTTACTCATAAATAACAGTAAAATGTATTCAATTTCACGGTCTTACAATTTAAACTAACAGCCGTTAATCTCCAGTATTCAAGTAAATTTACTATAGTAATAATATATTAAAAACAAGCTTTTGACTTTAACTTTTCGGCAAATATTCAGTATCCACTAAACTTGCTTCGGTCTTTTGCAACTTGATCACAGATTATGCACATTCATAGCTTAGATGCTGTTGAAAAGTTGCCATGTTTAAAAAATACCCGGGCGCGATTTTTAAGATCAAACAATAAAAACTTTCCAAGAACATAATATACCTACGTTGAAAATTAAAGAACATATATTTGTAAAATTTCGGTTTCACAAGTAACCACTTTAAAAAATATATATATTCTGTTATAATAACCTAATGAGTTCGTAATTGTTACAGGAGTGTCTATCAGTGTCTATTAAATCTTGTCTGTGACTTAAGTGAGCGATTGAGTTTGCTGCCATTTTCTCTTGGTTAATTTCATTGGGAATTAAATTGAATACCCCAAAAGGTGAGCTTGTTTAAACAGGTACCATTTATATTAAACTCAATATGTTTATTGTATCGCATGAAAAATCAAATCACAATCCGCATTTTCGGCTACGTATTACGTAATTTGTTGTACATCGTCACAATTTACAACGAAACATAAATAACGTTAGCATACGTGAACGAATCGAGCGCGGAACGTAGAGTTGTTGTCTACACCGAAAAGTTGTTCTGTTTGTAGGTGTGCGTATCCTACAAACTGCCGCAGGTTATGCGAAGAGGCTCGTATAATGACCTCGTATCGCAACGAGGCATGGGACGGCGGTCCTCCAGGCGCCGAGGGGGACTACGCCCCGCAGCCCGCGCCGTCGCTGCCACCGACCATGCCCACCACAGACCCCTGGACGGGCGTCAGCTACACTCAATATCCATCCCAATATGACTACCAACCCTATGGTGCCACACAATACGGTTATAGTTACGATTCTTCTTACTATCAAAGGCCCGATGGTTATTATGATTCTTCTAGACCTAGTTACCCTGGACAATATCAAAGTGGTTATGGTTATGCAAAGGCCCATAGCCAGTCTGTTGATGATAGCCGTAACTATGGGCCTAGAAGAACATCATTTAAATCTAAGTCTAGGAGTCCTTCTCCATATGGCAGAAGAGATCGGGAATATAGCAAGCGAGATAATAATTATGAGAAAAACTGGAAGCATTCTAAGAGAAGGTCACTTTCAAAGCGAAAATATACTCCAAGTCGGTCTTCCTCTAGATCTTACTCTAGATCTCCTATCAATGAAAGGAAAAATAGGCGGTCGGTTTCTTCCGGCTCATATACCTCAAAGAAATCTTATAGGCACAGGAGTAGTAGTGTCAGTAACAGATCTTTGACCCCACCAATAAGAAGAAGGAATTCTAGGTCTCGTTCAACTTCAGATAGCAGCAAAAGAAATTCACGGAGAGGAACTTCAAAGAACAAAAAAGAAATGAATAGAAGTCTGGCTTCTAGAAGGTCAAGGAGTATATCACCTCGAATTAAGTTAGAGAAAGACAGATCCAGGTCACCAAAAATAAAAGTAGAAAAGAACAGAAGTGTATCTCCATTTTCAAAAGCAAAAACGATTCATGGTAAAGAAGCAAAATTCAAGGAAAAAAAGCCTAATGTCACTTTACCTAGAAAAGCTACAAGGTCTCCATCACCAAGAGCTCGCGTTAAAATTGAGAGACCATCGATAACACCGCCAAAACGTAACGCTCGCGATCGTGCTGTGACGCCTCCGAAGAAAGCTAGCAAGGAACGAAGATCTATGTCACCTAAAAAACCTAGAGACAGTTCCGTGACTCCCCCTCGGTGCTATGCTCGTAGCTCATCTTCATCCAAGTCACGGTCATCTCGATCTATGACACCCAAACCGAAGTCGCGTTCCCGTACCAAGTCACGACGCCGGTCGTCGTCGTCAGACTCCTATTCATCTCGTAAGAATACTCGATCGAATAGGCGGCAAAAGCGCAGAAGTATTTCGAAACAAAAATCTAGAAGCAGAAGTCGAACACGAGAACGTCATAGAAAAAGTCGATCGACATCGCGTCGTCGTTCACCTAAAAGCAAGGGCCGTCGCTCAAGGAGTAGTTCCGGACGCTCGAAGTCACGTTCCAGATCACGCAGCGCGCATTCCAGTATTAGAAGTGGTACTAAGTCACCCAGTGATGACGAACGACGCGGACAATTCACCGTCGCAGACAGGAAACGCTATTGGAAATTACACAGATACAACCAAGGCAGCAGAGCTAAATCGCCAAAGGAAATCAAGCCACCGCCCGGAGCGATCGAAGTAGCTAAAGCAGATGAGATTGATTATGGGGACCCCCCCGAAGTGGAGGGGCTTAATTTCGCTGAATTACTTCCGCCACCAGATCAACTGGGTGTAGAAGGTCCGTCCAATTCTAGGACAAATAAACCGCCCCTTCCTATTCCAATCAAGAATGACGGTAGTTTCCTGGAGATGTTCAAGAAACTGCAAGAAGAGACGAAAAAGCAAGAAGAAGTAAAAAAGCCTTTAATAAAAAAGCCAGCTCTTCCGTTCATTGGCAAACGTCGTGGAGGCAGGGTGCTTAAGACTGGATTAGTGAAAAAGGCTAAAGCGATTGACGAACAAACGGTAGACAATACTCCCAAAGACGCTTGGTCCCTTTACATGCAGGAAGTGAAAAAATATCGGGAGACGTCGTGCGAGGAGGAGAGGAAGACCAGACCGCTGGTCAAATAATTATTTAAGTTTTCTATAAAACCGCGTATCGCATGCTATTGTAATGTAATATTCGCGAATCTTACTCTCCAATAAAGTTATAGAAACGTGATCCCGCTCTTTTTTATTCCAGTAAAATGCCTGAAAAACTCTTAACAGCTGCCGATGTGAAAACAGCACCTTTCGACCCACGGTTCCCAAACACGAATCAAACAAGGTAAAATTTTAACTTTTTTCTGCAAAGGGCGACAGTGCACATGGCAAGAACGTTGAACATCCTTAAACGCTCGGCGCTGGTTTATCTAATGAAAATGTTTACTGATCTCTCACTAGAATCCACTGTTTATCTGCAAAATCCGGACTCAGGCTTTCTCTAGATCGCTCTTTTGGATTTTACAAAACAATATTGTGCTTCTAAACAATGACTTACATAAAGATCAAAGTCAAAGTAGCACATTCATGAACCAGACGCATCTTTCAGGTACTGTTACCAGAGTTATGTAGACTTCCACCGTTGCCAAAAGGTGCGCGGTGAGAAGTACGAGGCGTGCAACTATTTCAAGCGAGTCTACCAATCGCTTTGCCCCAACGAATGGATCGACAAGTGGGACACTCAACGAGAAGAGGGTACCTTCGCCGGAAGGATCTAATTGTTGTCTAGTTCCATTAATTTATTTTTATTTTCCGTTAGCTTGCTCGTGATGTTAGAATAAAGAAATACAGCTCTATTTTTGTGTTTTTTCATTGACTGTCCAGGCATACTAAATGTGACATTCTCTCGTTACATCTTAAGATTTTTTTTGCTTTAATTTAACTTTTCACATGTTTCTAAAGTTATACAATTTCCTAAATGAATTAAACACAGAAAAGTACCAATAAACAACATAAAAAATAAAATTCAGGTCATCGTGATTCTACAGAGTGTTTAAAAGAGCACCATAACTGAGAAGAACACCCAAGAACCTCAGTCCGGCTTTTTTAAATATGTCTTATAAACTAATACATTGTTGTAAATGTATTAACCTAAGGAGCAATTCATATTACTGCCAGGCGGTCTTGTCATTAAAGAAATCCAAATTTTATAACTTTCTTAAATTTATTTATCATATAAATTTTAAATCTCGACTTGCAATGTATTATTTACACATACGAATACAATTCCCCGCAAATGAATTAGATATTTTATGGAGCCTATACTTGGGGATAGTTAGTTTATCCTTATTTCGTTCGAATACACAGTAAGTATGTCGATATTTTTAAAGATGATTCCCGAGATCCCATACCATAGATAGCCCGGACCGCCTTTTTTGCAACACAAAGATACATATGTCATAACACTGTGGAAGTAGCTGAAGTAGACTAGACGCGCTGTTTTAATGTCTGTTAATTGTTTGATCTTTTTTTACGGCGTAAGCTGCAGAACTGAGCTTGATCGAGGCTTTCCTGATATGAGATCCCCATTGTAATTTGGAGTCGTTATGCCCAGAAAGACAGTTTCATTGGTTTTAACTAACGCTTAAGGTAAAGTGAACCTGATACACTTGGTTTCGTTGACATTTAACAGTAGGTTATTAACACTAAACCAGTAGACTGCTCTCGAGAGGGTATTGTTTACATCATAAAACTCGCGTTGTCCACGTTTGACTTTAAATATTAAAGACGTATCATCAGCAAACAAAACTATCTCGTGATCGACTCTTATGAGGCGAGGGAGATCATTTATGTATACCAGAAACAGAAAAGATCCCAAAATTGAGCCCTGCGGCACCCCCATCGTTATGGCAGAACCAGGTGACTGTTTCCCATTTATCGCAACTTTCAGGATTCTATTACTCAGGTAAGATGATATAAAATCTAAGGCCGCCCTGAGTTAGGGTGTATCTGATAAAATTAAATTCAGGTTATCTTTACAATACACGAGAGTCGTCAAAATGAAAACGACTATGCGCATTTTATAGTTTATTGGAAAAAATAATCATTGTCAAATCAAATCGGTCCTGGAAAGGCTCCCTTGCCCCGCAACTCGTCCCAGTGTTCAATCCAAAAATTGGGACAGATCGTCTCAAAATACTTCTTGAAGATTTTGCAATCATCTACGTCGCCCAACAAGCGCTTGCATTTGTAGTAGTCGCAATAATTGTCGTAGCAGGCCCTGGATGGTGTAGCGTGTCTTTAAAACGCTTCATGAGAAAGAGGTTTCACTACTTTACATTTTGGCTGCGTGTAGCCAAAATGTTCTCTTTTAGCGCCATTTTGCAATAATATCGTTTGTCACAATATTTTATACGCGTCCTACGTAGAAATACTTTGAGCCGACTATAAAGTAGATGGATTAATATCGAGTATCGTGTTAGGAACTCCTTATTGTATAGTGTTCAGGAATTCTCCCGTTGAAGTATAAGTGACTTCCTATTAAATTAGTTTAAAAATCTCACCTTATGTATTCTTAAAATAAATGTTGAGTACTCACTTCGTTTGATTTTGAAAAGGATAGCGAGGATCAATCCTCAATGTTCTAAACTCTTGCTCGCACATATTATAATTTTGTGGATAGATTAAAAGGATAAAAAATTAATTTATTATTCTACATAAAAATTCAATATTGTATGTCGTCTTGATTTTCATAAGTGTAATTGAAATTAGAACTTCAAAATTATTATTTTTTTTTGTAGGAATAGAACAAGCTTTTTAAAAAGTACGATAATAAGGCATGTACATACTGCATTGCGTTACTGTCTACGCTGTGCGCACACTACTGGATATGAGTGAATTTGGTGTTTCTCAGTGTGCATTTCAAACTAGACAAAGTGTTTGAAATTTAATTGGGATGATTTTCACTACATTTCAAAAGCAAACCTAATTTTTTATTAAATTAATATAATAATAATTAGTCAGTTGCGTTAGTTGGTTGCGTATGCTTTTAAATAAGATCTTATGTAATGCAATGCGAATTACAATATAACAAGGTAAAGACTATTAATTGCACATATATTTAAAATATTTACATTTGGTTTTGGTTAACCCATATTGAGGTTTAAATATTAATGCAAATTGCATTTTCTCTGTGTTTTAGTGGAATAAATTATATAATAATTTTAATTTAAAATTATTCATAAATAATTTTTTTATGAAGAAAGTCAATGTGAATCAGAACTGGAATTTTTGATATTTGCAGTGGCATATTGCTGCTGTCGTAACAAGATACCCAAACACTGGAGGAGGCATTGCATGCTTGCTGCAGATGTAGCCTGAAAACCAATATTATGTTATCACACACAAGCAACACAAAGAAACCACTGGACCAAATCAAAACAATATGTAATTCGTTTATTCATAATTACATATTTTAATAAACTAGGGGATATTAGGAAATGCAGATATGATTTACGTCATAAGCTATCCTTGATTGATAATTTCAATTCAAGATTAAAAGCCCAGTATCTTATTTTTTTACAAAAATAAACTTATCATATCCAAATATCATATATGTTAAGTTACCTTAAGAAGTAACAAGTCTGGATCGGTGTGTAGAAACGGTGAGTCAGAAGATTCAATGCATCTTGCCAATGCAGCGTCACTGTAAAATACACGAAATAGATTATTTCATTACATATTACAAATATCACTAAATTCATGAAAGTGTAAGAAAGTTAGTATCAATTTTTATATATCTTAGTAAGTACATTTAATAAATCAACCAATGCATGTTTCCTTTCCACAAGGTGAAATGTGTTTTATTTCAGAAATATCTTTAAAAAAATTAAATAATTAACAAATTATAAAATCCTAAGAAACTGTTTTGCTTAAGCCCTCATATCAGGCATTTACTAAAATATACACCTTAACTCAGTAGTTTGCAACTGTTGTCTCGCAGATGCCATTGCATCATGAACTGCAAGTTGTTCCCTGGGTTGGAGTGGTGGATTTGCTCCCATAGCCTGCAATTAGGAAATAATATAAATGAAAAGGCTTTAAATTTAAGTTAATAAACTTTTAAAATTAAGTGGTAAAATCAAAAGAGAAACTATTCGGGACTGTAATTGTTTTATAAAGTGAGTAGATAAAACTAGAATGGTTGTATATAGCCAATTAGTCTGACAGGACATTAGTATTTATGCTTATTATTTTTCATGTAACTTTACCACAGTAATCTCATGATTTCTATATATTATGCATAAAATGTTTCAGTTATTACCTTAGTATGCACTTCAGCAATAGCTCTCAAACTATTAACCCACTCCTGGCGCGCTCGAGCATCCGTCGCCCGTAATTTCAACATGTCTCCTGAGGCACAGTTGATTGTGAACGTCTTTGAGTCTTCATCACTCGGACAGATCACTGCACCAGCCAAGTGTGCCTAAAAATAAAAAAGAAATTTTGTACTTGTATATCTAAGCAATATTAATTTTGTCTCGTAAGAACAGATAAAACATTTTGCTTATTGAGATTATTTAACAACATAATAATTTGTATACCCTAAAAAACTATAAATAAATATTAAGTTACTTCTCCTCTCGCCGGTTGTCCAGGCTGCACCGTATCCCCTGGGCCATCAAATAAATAATAGGACAACACACCACTTTCTGGATCCACAGCAAACCATCTTTGTTGCCATCCTTTTACAACATTGGTATATTTATAGAGCTGCCCTGATAACGGCCGATTGGAACCGAGACACGAAGCTTTCATCATTGTATATAAAGTTTAGAAAATGAGCATATTAATCAAGTTATAGGGGCGAAAACCAAAATGTTTCACTGAATGTAGAGTGAATAATGTAAGTAATCTGGAAGCTGATAATTTATTTCTCCTTTTAACTGTTAATCCATCAAACACGTTATTCGATATATAATGGGAACTATTTTATTTTTTACTTCTGCAACATAAACAATACAAATTCACCTTTTTATATGAAAAGTGACCAAATACTTCAAAACTGACATTGACATAAATCCAATTTCGAGTCATAAACACAAATTCTTCTTTTTAATAATATAAATAGTAGATTGTCAAATTCTGTTTTTTAAGTTGTCGACAACCGTTGTTCTAGTTTTTTATTATTTTGATTTTAAGGCAAGTATAATATTTACATTTTATTACCCTCTTTATCGTATTAAGTGCATGTTGTCAATGTGTCAGTAGTGTAAGATAGTTACAAAAATAAAAAAGGGGTACTTCGACAAATAGATGAAAGAGGTCGCCTACTCCTAGTTCTCTTGTTGTTGTCAGCAATATTAAGGAATGAAAAATGCCTGTGAGACTTGTGCGCATAGATAGCGAGGAGAATATTGTGAAAAAAATAACAATTCCAAATGGTACACATCTGTTAGGAAGGGGACAATTGTTACAAGTGGTACGTTTATATTCCTATTATTACAATATACATATACGGAACCTCTTCTCCAAGAAGTAAAATGATGCCATCCCTGCAGTATATAGTTAAGGATAATGTAGAAGATTTTATTCTTAAAATTATATAGATATGAAGTAGTTTTTTACTAATATTTTGTTAAACCTGTTCCAGTTCGACTTAAGAGTGTCTAGAAAACATACTGAAATTGAAGTAAAACAGGACTCAGTAATATTAAAATCAGTAAGTGTCTATGATTACTATCATGTAATCTTAAAAAATTGTTTAAAAGCAACAATTGTTATATATATATATTTAATTATATATAAAAAAATTACTAGTTAATCTAGTGATATGCCGTGTCACAATCAAAACATTGTACCATTATTTTACAGTATTAAAAACACCTTACATTTTCAGCTTCACCACAATCCTACATTCTTCATCAAAAATGGCAGTAATAAATCAGAATTGTTACATTTAGACTCAACAGTAGCGCTAACAAATGGTGACAAGGTCGGGTTATTACCAAAAGAATTCTGGTTTGAACTTATTATTGTCAATGATGAAGTATCAATACCTATGAATGGGGAGGGGGACATAAATGGAAATTGTTCTGATGAGACCTGTGTGACTAATGATGCACTAACAGATAACAGCAATGAAGGTGGGAAGGACATTTTTGTCATAGGTTGTTTTTTATTCCTTATCTTCTTCACTAAGCCATGGCCGCTACTTAATGTCCAAAGTAAATTTGTGCTCTAAAGCTTATATAGCATAATACTTATATAATATATGTTTCTTAGCATCAGCAAGTCCATTATGTATTCAATCTGAGAATCAGGAATCCGTTGATCAAAATGATCCAAATCAGATGCCAGAAGACAAACAAGCAGACAATATCTCACCACTGAAGAGAAATAGAAGTAACTCGACCGCCACTGTCAAATTGGAAAATGGTAATTTTCTATACTTTTAGTTTTAATAAAATTGTTATTTTTACAAACCTTTCATATAGTCTTATATATAAATACTTATAAATATTCTTATATGAGTTAAAAAAACATTGCTTCTATCCTAAATTCCCCTAAAAGGAAGAGTGACACAAAATCGTCAGTAAGCTTTACATCATTATAAAGTCAAAGAGAGTTTGGACAATTGTTATAACAGATAACCCAACATCAATTCAAGGTAACAATGAAGATGTTGCAAAGAGGATTAAAATGGAGCCTGATGATGATAATACTCATGTTCAACCTGACAGCAGTACGGTAAGATAGTTTTTATGCTACTAAACAAAATGTAATTATCTTTCTCTGTTGAGAAAAAAAATGTGCCTTCATTTGAATGTAACATATACTTCACTTTCTTTCTACACTCTTGGCCTTTTCCTTGTATTTGGTATTTTATTTACAATTGCCAATAGAATAAAGAAGAGAAAATAAAGAGAAGAAATAGAAAAGAATAGTAAATTATTCATGTATCTAATCAATCTAATACAATTTTATTTAATATCAGTATTTTACTTTTTATTAAAAATATTAAAATCAATATTTATAAAATCTATTGTTACAGGCTACAAGTTCTAATATAAATCAAGGGACTCAACAAAGTGTAAGAGAGAGGTGCTATTACGGTCACAGATGTTACAGGTAATCCTTCCTTAATTTTACTTTGACTACCTGTTTACAAAGCAAGGTAGTGAAAAAAAAATATCACCATTATTATGCCTCAATTGCATGGAGTTTTAAATTTAATTATAATTCTAGACGCAACCCCCAACATTTAGTTCAATATAGCCACCCCAAGGACTCTGACTGGGGCAGTGGAGATAAAGGAGAATGCCCACATGGTGCCACATGTTCCAAGAATGATCAAAGACATTGGGACACACATAATCATCCTCCAGGAACTAGGCGTCTACCTCAATTACAAGGTGTGCCAATCAAAAAGTTAAAATAAGGAAATTTTTGGCAACTTGAATAATAGCTGAAAGCATTTCTTAATATCTAATTGCCATAGACTAAATTAAAAGACAAGACTTGTTGGGTAATTTGAAAGTTAATATGTTAAGAAATCAGATAAATTTGCAATCATCCTATCCTTGTAGGTGTTAGTTAAACATTTTATATCCTAAAATAATAAAAGTTATCATAACCACTCCCTATTGTTTCAGCATTTCAAATCCAAAGATTTGGCCAAATAATACATATTAATTCGCATGTGAGCCTTACACAAGATAATTCTTATGCTTCAGAAGAATCTGATGGAGATACAATATATTCACACGAACAGTATCAGAAATAAGGCATATAGACTTCACTAATTGTATTATACCTTGTTAACAGGTAAAAAGAAAAGAAAACAACTAGTAGATACAAGTGACACAAGCGATGATTCCATAACACAATTGATAGTAGATGGAAAGAGAACAAGAAACTTAAAGCAACAAGATGATTTTAAATTTGATGAGTCATTTTCAGATTTCGAGCCAGACCCCTTTGGTTCGGATGATTCTGATGAGTGGGAACCATGTTTTTAACTCTTTATTTTTATAAGTGTTGGCATTCTCGCAGATCTATTGTTAAATTAAGTAAAAGTTGATTATACCATATTTGTGTAATGTGTGTTTCATTGTATTTTTGGAAAGGATTGAGATCATATTGTGATTGCCTGCCGTTTAATATTGGCCACAACAATAGAAGTAATAAATATTTTGTACTTTTATTAATTATTATAGTAACTCAATACAGAATAGAGAACTATATAATTAATAATTAATCAATGAAATTAAAGGTGCCTCATATATGAAAAATAGATGACAATCATTTAAAACTGTAATTGAAATACTCAGTTAAAAGAATCCTTCATCATCTGAGTGATCATTCCGCTCCCAGTCTGGCTTAGCAGCAAGTAGCAGTGTGGGTGGTGCCTCACCACCCCTGACGCGTAAGGCATACACAGCAGATTCCACTTTAAATACATTATTGCGAGTTGTAGACAATTTGCGTGCCAACTCCTTCCCAGTGCCAAATATTCCTGTAATAGGGAGATATTTAAATTTTAATATGATTGTGGTGAATATCGTAATATGGCAGATACTAGATAGAGCCATGCTTAGCTTCTTGCAACACATAAGGAGTAAGTTAAAATTCCTAATAAAAATGTATGCCTTCTCTGGGCCCTAAGGTCAACAAATGTGCATATATATATCCTATGCTCTTGTCCCTAGACACTAGTTAATTTCACCCTCCTACTATTCTAATTAGATCTGCTAAGTTAAAAGTTCTATTACATAAGACTATACCTAAATACCCAGTATACAGGTCTCTCACAGCCTGGCAAGAGTCAAAGCATTCTTCGCTATCACCGCTTGAGATGCTGTTTATGGCTTTTCGCATCAATTCACCAGTCAAATCTGCCAACCCTAACATATAGTCTAATTGTGGCACCATTGTAATAACGGTCCTGTCTTCCTCTTTATATTCTAATTCCTTCTGAACCTCTGGCCATGTTATAAGTAATTTGTTTTCCATGAATGAGCAGAACATTCTGGCTTCTATAAACTCTTGAAATCCTGGAGTAACTGCCCTAGAGTGTAAGTGAGCTGGGCTATTCTCTAGCTCTAGCCCAATGCCTTTTAGTGGTCCTTGGATGAGTTTTTGTAAGCGTTCTTTGGCCTCGTGTATAGATTTTTCTGCTGATGTTTTACTAGAACAAATGCAATAAAAAATCAGGCTCTCTTTTTTGTTTCTTGATCTATAGACAACTCCAGAACTATCTTTACACCACTGTGTTAGATTGTTAATTTTAATTTACGATAAATATTTACTATTCATAATAATACAAACATTCTCAAAGCATATTAAAGTTTACTAACGTGATTGCCGAATGTAATAAAAATATAATTCTCTTGCTTTCAATAGTAACATCTCTAGAAAGTTTGACCAGGCGCTCGTGCCTATCTTGCCGGTCATTCAGCTTATGGGCAGCAATCTTAAACATTTGCAGGACAGGACTGTCCTCAGGTAAAGAAGTAGCGGTCTCTTTCGCCACCGAGGACAGCGTTTTTCCATGACAACTGTTACCCCGATACCTTCCTTAAAATTTGTTGCAAAAGAATTATTTCACATTTACATTATTTCGCAAAACATATTTAACATACCTCGTCCAGACATTTTTAATAAATAGTCTACAACTTATGGAATTATAGTATTTATTAAAGACTTAATTATGAATCTTTGTTTATGAAATATTTGTTTTTTATATAATGGTCGAAGTTAAAACAAAATTTTAAAAGTAGTAGTAGGAACACCACAGATAAGTGGCTTCCCAACATCGATTGGATTAATATCCAGTCTGTGCTTGCAGCTTTAGTTTTGCAGACATTTTATATATTGACTTTTGAAGGAACATTGTCAGTTGCCAATACAGCATTCTAAACGAGCTCGGTAATTATGAAAATTATATTATTTTTTGCTGCATATTCATATTCATATTATGTTTTCTGTTTATGTTGTTATTAGTAAAATACTAATATTTCACATACGTTTTGACAGCGGTTCGCGTCGACTGACCAGAGTCCGCGAATCATTTGGCTATCGAAATTCTTATCTTCCCTCTCGTTAGACAAAAGGATATTAAACTTTTTATAATAAAAAGGTTTGTTATTATATGATCTTTTCTCATGTTTCTTGCTATGTTTAATTAATACCTTGTAACCAAATGCCTTTTCAGGTCTTAAAAATGGCCCAAACACTTACGTTCGGTGACTCATGCGCTCCATTAACTTGTCACGCATGGAATAAGGAGAGAAATCGTGAGTAATATAGTAGATCTGAATAATTTCTCATAATTACGTTGACAAAGGTATTTGATAGATATGTTCAATGTTTCAGAGATAGCTTTTTCTCCTAACAATAATGAGGTGCACATTTATCAGAAGGAAGGAAATGATTGGAAGCAAACTGACAATCTGGTGGAACATGACATGAGAGTGATGGGTATAGATTGGGCACCAAATACCAATCGGATTGTGACTTGCTCTGTTGACCGCAATGCATATGTCTGGACCCAAAATGAGGAAGGAAAGTGGACAACAACTTTAGTCCTCCTGCGCATTAACAGAGCTGCAACGTGTGTAAAGTGGTCTCCTCTTGAGAACAAATTCGCTGTTGGATCAGGGGCCCGTCTTATATCCATTTGTTACTTTGAGAAAGAGAACAATTGGTGGGTTTCCAAGCATATTAAAAAACCTATTAGGTCCACTGTGAGCACTCTCGATTGGCATCCAAACAATATTCTTCTTGTCACTGGCTCAAATGACTTTAAAGTTAGAGTGTTTTCAGCATACATCAAGGATATTGAAGACCAACCTGGGCCCAATGTTTGGGGGTCTAAATTGCCTCTGGGACAGTTGTTGGCGGAATTTCCAGCTGCGGGTAGTGGCTGGGTGCACAGCGTTTCTTTCTCAGCTGATGGGAATAAAGTGGCATGGGTTGGTCATGACAGTTCTATCAATATCGCTGATGCTGCTCAAGGTAAAGCAGTGATCAAACTAAAGACTGAGTATTTGCCATTTTTAGGCTGCATTTGGATATCCAACAACTCTCTTGTAGTTGCGGGACACAGTTGCATTCCATTACTTTACTGCCACGATGGTGATAATATTAAGTTTGTTGCCAAATTAGATAATACACAACGCAAAGAGTCTGGTGGACTATCGGCAATGAAGAAGTTCCAGTCTCTAGATCGGCAGGCTCGTATTGAGACTAATGACACTTTTCTTGACTCAATCCATCAAAACGCCATCACTTGTATCAACCTGTATAAAGGTACTAAAGCTAATGCTAAGAAGTTTAGTACCTCCGGTCTGGACGGCCAACTAGTCATATGGGATATGGAATCCCTGGAGAGAGCCATTGACGGCCTGAAGATTGTGTAATGAAACCAATGCATTTAAGTATAATTTTATTTATATAATAATGAATAATATAATTGCTTATGTCCTGAAGTCACTCAAAATGAATTATGGAATCTGTAAAAATTTACCACAATCACAGTTGAATCAGTCTAGCCAAATAATAAGAAGCGGCGAAACAAGTGATTTCAGCTTTCTTTAACATTAAAACATTCAAATATACAGAAATAAACTATAATTTATAGATACAACAGCTATCATTTTATTACTATACAATTTAAGTGTTAACTTTGATAATTTATATAAATAAGACAATAGACTACTACGCACTATGTATAGATCACATGTAATACTACTGAAGTCGCTGTCATTAATAAAATTTCTTAACAATCAACCGAACTCTTATTGCCCTGTCGTGGTCGGATCCTGCAGCCAGCAGCGTGATCATTGCACCTCTTAATTTACATTAACAAAGTCATACTTTAACCTATGAATCTATAAGGCCATCTGTTATTAAACGTAGAGCGTGTTACTGACTGTTGGAGACGATGTTGAATACTGGACCGATCCTTATAAAGACCCGTCTCAAGACAGAACGCAACTCCGGCTTCAGGTCGAAGCAAGTTATCTCGCAGAGTAGTGGGTAGTAGTTGGATACATGCGCCGCAAACTGAAATATTAAAAAATATGAATAAGGAAGACAAAACGCTTTTTGATTATCAAAAATAATTTTAAAAAAAATCTTCAACAATCACATCTTCATTCGAACAGCGATTTTAACTGGGCGTTGTAAGAACGTATTTCGTTGTTCGTGTGAATGAAAGATAAAAGTACGAAGGGCTACTAAATATTTAATCAAAAACTTGGGTCATTAAAGATTATGACTACATTCTACCCAGTATAGGTTGTTATGTACCCATTTCTTATCGGTTATATCTAACAAAAATAATGTTTAAGATAAATGGCGATTGCCGCCTTTGTAATGACATTTTATAGTTGCGACAATTAGAGATAATACACCTAGAATATTATTTAGCGATTTTTATCTATTGAATTTCTGACAAAGACAAATTACCTATAATAAGAGCAAAACTAAAAAGCTAATTAAATAGACTACATAGGTTTATACACCTCCTTTATAAGAGCACCTAATTAAACTGTCATCAATAGTTGAAGAGTTTGTTTGTTTGTTAAACGCGCTTCAAAAACTACTTTGAGTTGAAAATCTTCAAGATACCCGAAAAATATGTATGAAATAATAATTCATCTTTCAATGATCTAAACAACACGCAACACTATGTCTATCTTTTAAGATTAAGTTGCAAGAAAGACTGGACGCGACCGACGTCGTGGGTGACAGCCATAAAGATGAATAGGAGCATTTGAGAAACAAATTTTGGATGCACAGCAAGTGAATTAATAAGGACATGCATTTTTACATATTGTATTACGTACCCAGCGAACGTGACTTGAATGCATAATATCCCTCACAATAGGATAATGCGACACGCCAATGGCATCTACCTATATTCTTGCGATTTGTCTATAAAATATTGCAGTATATAATATAGTAATATTGCAACGCTAAATTTGACGGTTACTATCAATATAATAATATGACTAGCACGTCAATGTATTGATTTGAAGGACATTATGGTTTTCTTTAGTAGGTTTTAGCCGAGTGACGTAACGCGAATGCAATAAAACGCAGAGTCTTGTTAATTATTAATGAAATGATAAATGTTTTGTAAGAGGGTACATCTTACTTTGTTATCGTTTGTTCATTTTCGTCTCAAGGGAAAACCAACAGTGATGTTAATAATATCACTTACGAAGCGTTCTTAAGTTTTTGTTTCATTGAATATATAAATACTCACCCTTTCGTCGGGCATCTTCAATATCCGCGTCAATATGAGAAGAAGAATGGACGTCCACGCGTCCCGATGGGCCTCATTATTGAGTCCCGCAAAGTATTCCAGGGCTTCACAGCATATAGTTATAAGGCTTTTCTGCACCGCGGGCCAATGACTTCGCCGCGTCTCGTCGCTGTACATTTTAAACAGTATCCGCAATACGCACGCCAGCGACTGCGTCTCCTGTTTCAGCATATTAGGTTTCACCGATCCCTTGAAATTGGCTTTCCACAGGACGTTCCTTTGCGCGTTATTAGTATTGAAAGTTTTGGCGAACCGATGACTGCACATGAGGCATTCCACTAGCCGTAGCAGGTGCGGGGAACTCAATAGTCTGTACATGCCTTGTTCTTCACGCTGACATTCCTGTTCGGTGCCCGGGTGCCCCCCGGTCAACTCGGCGGCCGCGAGCGCCAATGTCTCCGCGTCTTCCTTTCTAGACGTGGCAGGGTAGAACACGATATTGTCTATAGTCTGAATTAGTTCCAACTGAACGACACATTTTATCAGAAGGCTGTTGAAGACGCGGTTAGAGGACTTTATTTCGTCTCCTCCTTGTGGCTTTTTGAGAATGCCATGACGAACGTGCGAGGCTTCCCCGTCCTCGTTTTCTTCTGGCTTCCAGGTAAGAAGGGTCGTGGGCAGAGTGCTGTTGAATATATCCAACATTATCTGACACGTCTTGCTCCACGTGTCTTCATTGAACTTGGTGCCGTTCGATATGACTAGATTTTCCAAACAGTTCGTGCCCGATCTGGCGAGTTGTTCGTTGTCCTGTTGCACGCACCAGTGCAATTGCGCAAACAGTTGCTCCAGCAACAGAGAACCGAGAACGTCAAAGTATTGCGTGAAGACATCTACGATTGCATACAGCGCGTGGTTGCACGTTGTAGTCATCCATTCGTTTTTCTCAAGTTGGTGTTCGGGTAACTTCATATTGTCGAAAATTCTGAATAGTATGTTGAACAGATCTCTCCACCAGTGAGGTCGGAATGCGTCGCCGTGCGTTTTGATGATTTCAAAGAGGACCGTAAGACCTCTAGTGCGCACGTCCAGCTTGCAGCGACTGACGACGCAAGAGAGAGAGAACAGTAGAGGAAACCAACCCCGGAGCCACACTCTATCCTCTTCTGGAGCACCAGGCTCCCCTTCGAGGCCAGCGTGCTCGGCGAATAGATGTGGCGAAGCACCGACTGCGGTGGCGCACGATCTGACTAGTCTTATGGCTTCCATTGACGTATCGGGGAATTTGGCGTTACACGCGAATTCCGATAAGCACTTAACGGCATCCTGGAATGAATCTATCATGGCCGGGAATTGTTTTTCGTATAAGTCTGTTATAATTTTACCCGTCGTTTGGAATGCTAAATCAACGATCGCCTCATCTTGATCGCTAGCTGCCAAATGGAAAACTGAAAATATGTTTTTCCAACCGGATTTGATATTAGGTGCTTGTGAATTGACCATTTGCGCAATACATCGAACCACCATGTCCCTGATTGTGGGCGAACTGTTTTTCTTCATTATGTGTTCGAAAGGCCGTAAGAAGTCTTTTTGGAATTTGAAATTAGCAAATTCACCCTTTTCTATGAATTTCATTGAGAGCTGTCGCAACGAATCTACCGCAAAGAATGCTATGTCTTCATTACTACTGCATCCGACTTTATTGAAATGGTCTCCGAGGACTTGCCAAATGCGTGACCACTGAAGCCTAATTCTTCCCATATTGTAATATGATATCTCGACAATTTTTTGTAACGAAAACATGCGAGGGTTCGACGGATGGCTTAACTCGTCGAGGGACACTTGACAAAGGGCTTTTACAAAGTCGACGATAGCGTCGCCGTCTAATCTCGTCGACCCAGTAAATATTCGGTCGACGGCGACTACAACGCTCTGCGAACTAGTCTCCCCTATGTGCTCTTTTACACTGGGATCTAGCGCCATAAGACTAAATTTTAAGGCATCCGGCTGTGGTTTTATACTCGATCCCGACAAAAACTGTGGTCGAACTCCCGTACCAATAAGTTGAGCTAATTCAAGCTGTGAAATACATTTAACGACATCTAACCAACTCGACCCCAAATAGTTTCCGTCAGTATGTGCCACTGTTATCAGTGTTTTTATTGTGTCAATGTTCTTAGCTTTCATTTCGGTGATGGGAGAATTAGCTGTCAAAAGAGTGAATCGAGCCAAGGCCTGTACGTAAGCATCTCTTTCAAGTGACATGTGGAAAATACAGGCTATTCTGATCGCACATCTAATGCCGTCTAAGCACAATGAAGCTATCTCAGGGTCATCACAGTCTTGAAGACCCACTGAGAAGGCAGCTAAAAATGGAGTCCACGCCATTTTAAACATAGGCCGCACATGTTCGACGTGTTTTGCTGTCGTGAAAGGAGTCTGGACATGCGACACTGACTCCATCAGACTTTTAGCGGCGGTTGATATTTGTTCCATCTCCATGTTCCAAATGAATTTACGCTTTTTTTCGTTAGAGATCATGTGCTTACCTGGCTTAGAAGTATTCTTCATTTTAATCTCGTGTCCAGCTATTTCGTCATATATCTGGGATAAATACTCGCGAGGTAAATCACTATTATCACTTATTCCACTATTCAGTTTGATGTATTGTTCCTTGGTCATCTTAGTCTTAACTTGTGGGGAATGCAAATCGGTCGTGAGCATAATAATGGAGAAAGCCAATACGTAAACAGTGTCAGCGCTTATAAATAACGTGTTGTTCGGGTTACACTCACAATAACGTGCAGCGAACTTTTCCATTAATCTGTCAATTTTTTGTGCTTCTCCTGGCAACCTAAACCCTTCAAGAAAATGACGTAGGGCAGCCACGATATCCATATTTCCGAAATTCATTGAGTCAACGTAAGCGTACATCACCTCTTTGGAGTGATCATCGTTTTCTCCGAGATATTCGCCAATAAATGTCTTGTCAAGTCGTTCGTCTGTCAATAGCCATTCGGCAATTTCCTTTATAGAGGTTCCTAATAAGTTTTGTTCTTGCAAAAAAGCCACACCTTTTTTCGGTTTTCTATTAAAAAGGTCTATTCCTGTTTCCCATACTTCCTTTTGCTGTTTTAAAACTTCGAATTGCTCCGGAGAATCAAGAGTCTCCCTGTTACCAATGTTACTTGATCCAGTAGAAATTAGACTGACACTTGATCCTCCATGGGACTTAATACTATGGTGGTCAGATTCTTCTTTCACAGGCCTCTCTCCCAATGTAGTCTGCATATTGGGATTTATATACAACTCTTTGCTCCACTCAACCATGCACTTTAATATGGACACAAGGCATTCTAAACCTCTTATTCTCATCGACTTTTCTTGGTTAGGTGTTGCACCCAGTTCTACAGCTTGCCTGCCTTGTGCAATTTTTGATACATCATTAACTAATCTTTGAAACAAGTTTGCAGCCGACAGGTCACAATCATAGTTCACATAGATATCAACAACACTCTGAGCATCCCCACAGATCCTAGTTAGAGCCTGTATAACCATCCATTTATGTTCAAATGTGGAACTAGTGGTTTCTAAAATGTTCATAAATATTTCCTTAAAGAACACCTCTATTTGTTTTTTAAGATGAACTTTGAAGTTCTGCAGCAAAGCTAAGAAGATAGCTAGTGATAGCTCAAACACTTCAGGAACAGAGCTGACACCGTTTTTAGATAAAGCCACACATAGATATTGCTTGATGGCTGTTATAAACATTTCATTGTTTCTAAATACTGGACCTGCATTTTGCAAAATAGACAAAAGAAGGTGTAAAGATAATACTTTGGATCTCAACTCGTGTGACTTAGGATCAGGTGTGCCTTCAGGTAACGGCTTCATGGATAGCTTGCATAATGCTCTAAATACTAGGAATGCATCTTTTTGTAAGACATGCGTGAACTTGGCTGTAACTGAATTATCATTCTCTGATACAACATCTACACTTTCTTGTGATGGTATTCTTGGAATTGGGGTTTCACTTTGCACTTGGCCATTGCTCTCTTGAGAGACGCTATGGCTGTCTTGAGAGTCGGAAGGAATTTCATTATTATCAGGTACACTTTCATTATTGACCTCAGACTTTTTATTTGCTATAGATATAGCATTATCAATAACAGAATCCACAATTTGTCTTGCAATAATTTTAGCCTCTAAAACTTCATCAGTTTCCTCTTTGTTGGTTGTTTCTTTATTTTCATCTGATACATTAGTGGTTTCATTTGTTACAACATTTCCATTAGGCATTTTATGGAAGATATCATTAGACTGGGTATTTGTATTACAATCTGTCTCTAAAGCCTGGTTCTCCATCTTTGTGAAAATGACATTCAGCATTTGCGTGAGGGTAGCTCTGGCCGTAGTTTGGTTGATAAGGTTCTTGCTGGCCAAATAAATATTATAGCAAGTTCTGACTGCAAGAAGCACAGTTCCTTCGTGAACTTCAACATGTTGACTTGTGATAACAGTAAGCAGAGCTTTAATTATCTGCAACTGAACTCCTTCATCTGTTTGTGGCCCATTAAAACAGCTACATATAGTTTCTACAATTCTATCTATAAGAAGTTTACGAGGTGTTGTAGAATCTGGGATATTTCCAGTCAAATGGCCATATGCAATTAGCTTTTGAAGACAATCTAATGCTGTCACAACTATTCTAGCTGCTTTACTCTGACATGCCAATTCAAATGGAAGGAAGTATTTTTCTGCTGTGATAATGTTGGAGGCATCATTCTTGGGTAAAGGCAATGTGCCCGATGTTGGACTTTCAGATGATTCTGGTTGACCTCCATTTTTTAATTCTGCCTTTATTTCCTCTGAAACAATATTTTTAAAATGTAATTTTGTTAAATTATATACAATGAAATGCCTGACATATATGGAACTCTCAACTACGCAATATAATTTAAAATCCTTTTTTTTACATATTAATTTGTTCCAAACAAATACATCAATTTTGTTTTAAATACCCACATTGTATTCTATACTAAAAACATACTGTTAACAGAAATATGTGCTTTAAATTACATTTCATGTAAAAAGTATTTAAACAATAGATAACAACTATTTTTTTACATAATTGATGAAATCAAAATACAAAGTAAGTGTTTGTAGATGCCATTGTAAATTTTAGTGCCAAATAAATAAATAATTATTATTATCTAAAAAATAAAAAGATGAATCATTTCTTACCAACTGGCATTATAGAAAAAACAAAACAATGATTTATCATTTTTACTTCCTTTTCCAAACAGCAAATGTAGAACTGATGCACTATGAGCAAGTAAGCCACTTATCTTGTTATGTAAACAAAATATACTCTATAAGAATTTTAACCCAGATTACAATTACCCAATCAGATTATGCAGTGATCTTTATTTAAATCAACAAAAGTGTATTTCAAAATCTCAATTCCGTAGTTTATGGTCAAACTTCCTAATAACGAATAATTAAAGTTTATTGTGAAATTCTGATAAGATTACTTGTATCCCCACTTGTTAATTTTCAAGGTCAACTCTACACTCACTTTTTGTCTACTTAATTTGAATAGTAATAATTAGAGTATAATTAAACCACATATATACATTCCAATAATTTTATGGATGATTTATATAATATTATAATATAGCGTCAAAGTATGTTGCTAAGAATCTTACCAAGAGCAACTTCGCATGACTTTTTTAGCTGACTATGGTAGGACCGCTTGATGTCTTTGTCGGCTAAAATCTTTTCCAATGCCCTGACTATAAACATTTCTTTAGTCTTAAGGTTGGTTTGCATCGTTATTGCATTAATTACTCCATTCGTTCAAGTCGGAGGCGAGTCACACTAATGAGGGCTTGGTATTCATTTATTTAGCGTGCTCTATGTAGCCACTGGTTAATTGAAATAATACAATCACTTTATATCGAAACACAAATTCTACATTACAATGCGATTAATTAGAATTTTACGCGTTTCCATTCGAGTAAAACTGCAAAGTTCGATCTTTATTTTATTATTGACATTACACACCTCATCACAAACATGTCAATCCATCTTTGGAAACACAATTTCGGATGCGATCACACAATTTTAATATAAAACATTTTTTTTACCTGAAATGAAATATAAAAATAAGACTAAGAATAAGTATACCCAATACGTTGAAAATTCTAATATAACAAATATGTTATATGGTACAGATATATATATAATGTAGTATATGTATATAGCAATGACGATTTTGTCTCGTATAATCTGTATGTCGACTGCTTGTTTAGGAGTAAGGTTTAGTAAAATGGCAAACAGAAAATGACAGCATTTCCGAAATAAAAAAAAAACATTCTAGCGCATTTGCGGTTAAATTGCATTTAATATTTAAATGTGATTTTAAATTCAATAATATAGAACTTTGCTTTTAAGTTGGTCATAAATATTCATCAAAATTGCTTCCACAATGACTGTCACGCGGGTTGCCGAATCCCGCACAGAATTTAAATTGAAAAGCCTTCCCGAAGATGCTATATCAAGTGTTAAATTTGCACCAAAATCTAATCAATTTCTGTTAGTTTCGTCCTGGGACTGTTCTGTAAGACTATATGATGTGTCTGCAAATATAGAGAGACACAAATATAACCACGAACTGCCAGTTTTGGACGTTTGTTTCAGGGTAAGCACTAAGCTACATATAAGTGTAGTAGCCTCATAATTGAACTGTTTCAATTTTAATTTTATGCATATTTCAGGATGCCGTACACTCATACAGCGGTGGCTTAGATCAGACATTAAAGATGTATGATTTAAATGCATCTACAGAGACTGTATTGGGTGATCACAAGGGAGGAATACGTTGTCTGGAGTTTGCAAGTGAAGTAAATGCTGTATTGACTGGCAGTTGGGATGGAACAGTGAAGATGTGGGATAGCAGAGTTCCCAATTGTGTGGGGACATATAATCAAGGCAACGAAAGGGTAAATTTATGATTATTGTCAATCATAAGCGGGTAATAGTCTTTAAAATCTCTAAAATTGTATTGATGATATTGTTTTATTATTGTACTATATTTCCGTTTCCTGAATTTGTCTTAAAACCTGGGTTACTTCTTCACCATTAATATGCTAATGTGATTTTGGGGAGAACATTTCAGGTTTACACAATGAGTATTGTCGGTGAAAAATTTGTAGTGGGAACATCTGGCCGTAAGATCTTTGTATGGGATGTTCGTAACATGGGCCATGTTAATCAAAGGAGAGAATCATCTCTCAAATATCAAACAAGGTGCATTCGTGTCTTTCCCAATAAGCAAGGATATGTATTGAGTTCTATTGAAGGCAGAGTCGCTGTTGAGTATTTAGACAGCAATCCTGAGGTACAAAAGAAGAAATATGCTTTTAAATGTCATAGGATTAAGGAGGCCGGTATGTAAATAAGTAGTTAAAATAAAAAAAATAAGCTTCTTAAAAGAATCTCTGTACATATAGTTTTTTTTAGCATTTGTTGTGTGCACTCTAAAGTCTAAAGCCATTAAGGCAAAATATAATCTGCAAAATATAGTATGATAGATTGATTGCTCTTTAAATTATCAAAAAAAATCCGTGACTATATGTTTATCTTTTAAGATTAACTTGCAAGAAGGATGGGACGGTCTAACGTAACGACGTCGTGGGTAACAGCTTAAGTTTATAAAAATGAAGAGGTTGCAAAAAATTGGATGCCCAAAATAACTATTCTACACGGGCAAAGTCGCTGACACAGCTAGTGTGACGTATAGATTACTACAAAATATTCATACCCATACTAATTAGCATTTAGCTAAAGAACTATGGTCCAGAGGGCTAGAATGAAAGGATGTAACACTGTCATTTGTAATATTAGTAAAAAAAATAAACGCCTTCAAACTGAGAGAGACTTGACTTATGTCCTATAGAATTGTGCTCAAGGTATAAGTGTTCTTACACAATTAACATTCTATTACTTTAATTATGATAAAGAACATTGACTTGACACACAGATGGTGATAAAAAAAGTAAAATATATATAAGCTATATACAAATTAAATTAATGGTTACAGGTGTGGAGAAAATATATCCTGTAAATGCAATAAGTTTCCATTCTGTGTACAATACATTTGCCACAGGCGGTTCAGATGGATATGTCAATATTTGGGATGGTTTCAACAAGAAGAGGCTTTGCCAGTTTCATAGGTAAGATTTCTATGGCTTCACTAGGAACAAATGGTTAAAAAACCAACCATGAACCTATTGTTTGGCAGCTTATCGCTGTGCATACTTACTACTGACTGTTGTTACTTTGCAACAAAAAACTATTTTTCTTAATATTAGATAAAATCCATTTGTGTTTCCTAATTAAGCTAAGCTTCCATTAATCAAGGACTGAACTAACATGCAAAAAAGGGATCTTTTATAATCCCAGGTTCAAGATAAAATATGTTTGAACAAAGTACTTTAACTAATTGTATTGCTAAGAAACAGATGGCGCTACCGTAGCAGATTTGATTTCAAGTTTATCGTAATTACATCTGTTACAATAAATCTGTTGGTTGTAACAAATTCATTCATTGATTCATTGTGATTTCAATCAGATTATTATTTTTATTTTCAGATACAATACTGCAGTTTCATCTCTAAGTTTCTCGTACGATGGGTCGGCACTGGCTATAGCGTGCTCGCAACTGGATGAAAACCAGGTGGAAGATCCAAAACCCGAGGACACAATTTATATCCGATATGTCACCGACCAAGAAACCAAGCCCAAATGAGACTACACAAATTAGGCGCGGATTGTGAAGACATACAGATAATGGCAGTGATAAAGACAATTTGAAAGATTTCTTGTAACTTTATAAAAAACGAATCCGCGCCTACCTCATCCTATATAACTTTTTGATATGAACCTTTGTTTTGGTGTTCATTTTGATTTTTAATGTCTCAAAATCAATACAAGATTATAACATAAAGTTATATAGATATCGACTGAGAACTATTTTAAGAAGTAGTGATAAGTTTGAGTAAATCTAGAATTAAAAGTGATGTTTTTATTTTTCCTACAATCTTCGAACCTAAAGGTACAAGGCGAAAGTGTTTTGGACCCGGTGGATAGTGCACCCACTGTTGATTATTTGCCATTGCACCAACGGGCCATTTCTGAATTTTAACAAGAGAACAGATGAATAATTTGATATAGGTAATAAATTGAGAGATTGGTCAGTAAAGTTAGGATACGACAAAAAGTTTTTGTTTGAATTTAAAGACACTGTTTCTTGCTTAATTAATATGTATGTATAATATAAAATTATATGAATACTTGACGTATATATTTCGTATGAATATTGCAGGTCGAGAACGTTATAAAACTTGTCCATTTTATCAAGTCAAAGACAGCGGATGAGCGGAGTATCCTAATTTGTTGAATACCGAAGCGTAGCGCGTGGGAGGCACAATCGACGCAAATCAACGCACCTAAACACGAACAAAACGATAAACCTCGAATTCCCATACAGCCTTGTTTGACAAGGTGATTCAAGTGGCCGTCCCGTCAAATTAAAAACACTGACTCGGAATTTTCTAAGCGTTTTACTCGCCATATACGATCATATTAAACCGTTCAAATTAACACGTTTCGCGAGCTCAAAAGCGAGGATTTGCAATTAAATTTAAAAGCCATCGGCGCACCTTATTACAGTGTAATACGGGTTATAATGGTGGATGAATTGGCGCGAAGAAAGTGCACACGCCGGTCCAAATTGCCAATCAAACAATGCATCTGTTTGCGACCACCTTCTTAGAAACGTTAGCTCGGTTGTAATGGCAATATGTTTGCTAATACAATATTTCGCGCGGTTGTCTAATTGCATTCACTCATAAGGAAGTAAGCTTAACTAATACCCTCCAATACTAAAGTTTCTTGGTCCCTAATAGCTTCGATATTTATATTAGAAAACATGTGAAATAAATTAAGTTATGTGAAGTAATTTATAAAAAAAATATTCACATTAAAAGTTTTCATCCGATTAAAATTCCCGGCTTTTTCATCTGTGGATAGTGGCTTTCGAACTGGACGAAATTTTTATATTCTTAACATCAATTTAGTAACCAGATTTTCCAAACGAACTTCAATGTGTTTCAGAAAAATATAAATTTTTGATTTGAGAGAAAGATGTTGGACCCCATGATAATCGAACCTGCGACATGTTGATACATTGCTAGTTGCTACCATTAGGTACTCGTTTACGTTGCAGTAGATATATCGTAGTCAAATTAAAGAGTAGGTACCTTTTATCTAGAGTAAAGAGTCTTATTAAGGCAACGCAGTTACAGTAGCATATCGACTTATCAGTAAAAGTATTGCTTCTATTAAAACAGATACAAAGTGTTAATTTTTATTTATGGGAGCTATTAAGATGTGGGCAGTAGCCGCGAGCAGATCGCTTACGACTCGTTAAGTGTTGCCATTTAAATAGATAACTGGAGTAATTGACTATTTATTTACGGGAACAGGCTACTTAACGCTGGCGGCTCGGAGGAGGCGGCGAATGAGATTTAATTTGCGGTTTTTATCTGTAGTTTATATACATTCACTGTTGTATGCAACTTTTTTGACAATTCACATAATCGGAAACACAATGTAGTAAAGGCGTCTTTCCGTTGGAAATGAATGCATTATATTTAGTGAAATGTTTGTGATACTATTTAAGTGTAATAATTTGTTTTTCATTATAAGACTTATGTGAAACTTCCGATATGGCGTATCAGAGATTATTAATAATATTAGAACCATAATTTATGTTTGATAGTGTTATAAATTATTATGTTTTTCCGAGTCAATCTTGTTTAAGGTATTATTATTGTTTAAATCCGAAGACGGAGTTATTTTTATTGCAACGGGCCAAAAAGCAGTCGCAATATCGTAAAATAATACGCGTTATTATTACCCCGTCGAAAAACAATATACCACTTTCTCACATGCAATGACAAATTGCTGGTGAATTAATACGAGTCGAGTTTGTTCGGATAAATCAAAACGCGCTATTCGCGCAGCGGGCTATACATCCTCATTATTTGCAATTTTTTTTCTTCACCTTTGACCTACCTTAAAATGAGCGAGATAAGATTCAATTTCGCGTATATGTCGCATAAAATAGTTCGCGCAATGAGCAAAAATTTACGTGCATTGTTTCTGCAACTTAAGTTGAAGGGTGTAAGGGCGTCTTTCGCTGAGCGAGTCGTTTGAATTTTGCAAAATAGTGTTAAATATACTTGGCGGAGAGAGGATGTTATTGCTCAGTGTCTTCGCGTTGCAGTAGGGATGTGCAATTTAACTCAGCGGCTTAACGTGTCCCTTATATTTTATATAATCCTTACATTGTAATTTATGCCGCCTGTTGTGGAATAGGATTTTCTGTCCGGTGATTAATAGAAACAGTATTGGCGCAACACTTGCTAATCAAACACTGACAAATGCGATGCTTGCCGCGCTTTCATAGAAATCTTGTTATGTGGTCTCGTTGTGGGGTCGTCTGGTATCATAGGATGTATATTAATACGTACATAATAGCTCTAATAAGACATAGCCACTTCTACGCAGACAAAAAGTCATTGTTCTCCTTGATCGATTCCATTATCCCCAAATTGTCGAAATTAATTTTATTTACGTAAGCATTACTTATTATTTGTATGTAACGCGTTACCTAAGATGTTGTGCTAAGCCCTACAAGCCGAGTCAATGCCAGCCAAGCCAGCCATGCCAGCCAAGCCAGCCAAGCCAGCCAAGCCAGCCATGCCAGCCATGCCCAGCTATGCCAGCTATGCCAGCCATGCCAGCCGCTAACCATCATGTTAGCAAACAGAGCCGTAGACTGTGATATAGTCTGTGATGTGATACAGTCTGTGGTGTGATATAGTCTGTAGTGACAAAGATAGTTCACTCCCGAGATGACAGATCGTGCATTCACATATCGGGAAAAGCGCGCGAAAGCGCGTGCACGACATTGGGTTAGGCATTCTAATTGTGGGACTAATCAAAGCGAAAGCTCTGTTACAATTTGATAAAAATTAAAGTCTTTAATCGGTCAAGTTGTTTATTTAAATTACCTCGTTACAATTCAGAAGTGGGATGAAGCGCAATAAAGTTGGACACGGCGTCCGCCGAAACAGTTCCTCCAGAAAAAACAACACCGACCGAAATCATGAGGAACCGCCTGCCAAGAAATTGTTAAAGCAATTGCTTCAAAATGAAGTAAAAAGAGCCATGAACGATCTAAATCAGGAAATCTCTAGCGCCGGCCCAAGCAACCCTCAACGAACGTCATCGCTAATTCCCGATTTCGATCCTGACAGCGACGATTGCACGGTGTCGGCCTGGATAAATAAGATCGAGCAATTGGGAGAGATATATACATGGAGTGACACAGTAAAGGCATTCTACCTTCAAGACAAGCTACGCGGTCAGGCTCGCAAATGGTATAATCGACTCGATGATTATGATCATACGTGGCAAGAATGGAAAGTCTTGTTGCTACGCGCATTTCCGAAGCATCGAGATTACGGTTCTTTGCTAGAGGAAATGATGCAAAGGAAAAAGCTACCTAATGAATCTATGACCAAATATTATCAAGATAAAGCTACATTATGTTTTAGATGTAAGCTATCGGATGCTGCTAGCGTGTCATGTATAATACGCGGCCTACCCGCTTCCTTGCAACCTAACGCACTTGCTTTTCAATGCGAACGTCCTGATGAACTTTACGAAGGGTTCCTTAGCGCAATGGATGACTATCGGGGACAATCTGTCACCCGCCCGCAATGCAAAGAGAACCAACCTTTTACTGTCCCAAAAGTTTATGAAAACGACCCGTGCCCACGATGTAAGAAGGTTGGTCACATGCTGCGTAATTGTTCCATGCCAGATCTACGCCTGTGTTATAAATGCGGTAAGCAAGGACATATAGCCACAAAATGTGATACTTCGATTTTAAACTCGGCCGGTGGTGGTGTTAGAGACATAAAATTAATTCAAAATTACAACGATACCTACAAAAAAACAGCTCAAGTAGATGGCATTTATATCAAATCATATCTGGATACTGGTAGCCAAGTAAATGTAATGAGCGCGAAGATTTCTACTGCCCTTTCCTTGAAAGTCATACCAACGAAAATAATACTTAAAGGATTTGCCGGCGGTTTAATTACATCCCGCGGGAAAGTTCAAATAAATCTGAAAATAGATAACGTGGAAATGTCTAGTGAAGCTTACTTGACAGACGCAGAGATGGGTGACGTAGACCTATTGATTGGACAGCCTGTCATTAACGCGGGAAACGTGACATTGACGGTTGAAAATGGCGCGGCCACTCTGAGATTAATTGAGAATTGTGATTTTCTATCTAAAATTAATGACATTAACAAATTGGGAAAGTATATCGTCGTCACGGCTGCCAAAGAAACTTTACCCCCGGGAACGTCAATTATCCGAGTAAGAGTTGAAGGAAACCGCGAAGACAACAATGTATGCAGTGCTATGCGACATTATGAGTTTGGAGATATCTCTTACTCTTTACCAGCTACGCTTCTGCGAGGCAATTTGGGTTACATAAAGATAATCAACAGCGGCCAAAAGGACATAACATGGGACGCCAGTCAAATCCTCACGCGGGCAGAGGATTGCTCAGAGCCAGCCATAGATAGCCAGGTTAGCCTTCCTTATTTTACTAACTGTGTGCAATCTGTGTTACATTTAAAGCCTGAAGATACTATTGGGGGT